TGGGTGTGGCCTAACCTTGTTTCTTTGCGCTGTGGTCTAACCTTGTCATTCGCCACAGTAAGTTCCTTTGGGTGGATTACCCAGAGCTGGACAAGTAAAGATACTTGTGACCCAGGGGTGGGGCTGTGAATATTGAAGTCTAGACTTGCAAGGAATATGTTGAGGCTGGGGGGTGGGAGCAGAGATGCCCCCTGGAGTGGATGTAGTAGGTGTGCTGGCAAATGGCTAATCAGTGGCTATGCACGAGGAAAGCCCAGGTTTGTAGCATTTACCAGAGTTTCCAAAGTGTAAATACTTCCGCTACAGTAGCTTTCGAACCATGAACATGATTACATGGGAACGTTTCCCAGTCAGCTCTCGGAAGCGACTATGGCCAACTCTGGCACCCCTCTAGGGGTGGTGAAGGTGTCCGGCCAGGGCCAAGCCCTCTTCGGGGTTCCATGAAGGCAGCGTGGGTGTCTAGATTGAGGACACGTGTGTCTGAATCCCCAGATGGGACCCTGTGGCTTTCCATCTGGGAGTGAGGTGGTCCCGGAGGTGAAGGGCTTGAGTGCACAGGTTGACCCCTTGCTGGATCTATGAATATGTCCAAATCTGAGATGATGACGTCTAGGCTTCCGGAGGACCAGTGTGTCTAGGCCTGAGAAGGGAAGTAGTACCAGTGCCCAGCTCAGCGTCTGCCAAGGGTGCCGGGCACTGTAAGCTGACCCCAGCCTGTCTGCTGCATTTGGGACCCTCAGGGACCTGCTGCACCGGGGCCTTGAAGACCAGCTTCTCCTGCCCGGCAGTGACCAATTTGACAGTGTCCTCTGCGGCCTGGTCACCGACGTGGATTTGGATGGGCGGCCAGAAGTCCTGGTGGCCACCTACGGACAGGTGGGACCTGACGGTTGGAGCCACCACCCACCGGCCTCCCTCTACTGTGCCCCCATCTACCTGTGTGACCTGGCTCTCCACCCCTGCAGGAACTGCTGTGTTATAAGTACCAGGGCCCAGAGTCGGGGCTTCCTGAGGCCCAGCACGGGTTCCGCCTGCTGTGGCAGCGGGGCTTCTCCAGTCCCCTGCTGGCCATGGCTCACGTGGACCTGACCGGGGACGGGCTGCAGGAGCTTGCCGTGGTCTCCCTGAAGGGCGTGCACATCCTGCAGGTAACCCTGGCTCTCGGGGAGAAGGGTTGACCTCAGCAGTTTCGGGCAGGGGGTGCAGGCCACCTCCCGGGGGAGGGAAGAATTCATTTCTGGTAGGCAGTTCCTACCCGCCAGGACAACTCCCAGGAGAAAGGGGCAGCTGGGAGCGCTCACAGCAGCTGGGGTGGGGGCACCGGCCTGGTGAAGGAGATTTATTTATTTATTTATTCTTTTATTCTTTTATTTTTGAAACAGAGTCTTGCTCTGTCACCCAGGCTGAAGTGCAGTGACTCGATCTCAGCTTACTGCAACCACCTCCCAGGTTCAAACAATTCTTATGCCTGAGCCTCTCAAACAGCTGGGATTACAGGTGCCCGCCACCATGCCCGGCTAATTTTTGTATTTTTAGTAGAGACGGGATTTCACCATGTTGCCCAGGTTGGTCTTGAACTTCTGGCCTCAAGTCATCCGCCCACCTCGGCCTCCCAAAGTGCTAGGATTACAGGCGTGAGCCACCGGCCCTTTTTGTTTTGTTTTGTTTTGTTTTTGAGACAAAGTCTTGCTCTGTTTCCCAGGCTAGAGTGCAGTGGCGTGATCTGAGTTCACTGCAACCTTCACCTTCTGGGTTGAAGTGATTCTCCTGCCTCAGCCTCCTGAGTAGCTGGGATTATAGGCGCCTGCGTCCACGCCTGGCTACATTTTACGTTCCTTCTAATCTCATTTCCTTACATTTGGGTCTAGGCTTTGTCCCTCCCACCAGAAATTCGCTTAAGGCCACTCCCCTTCACCCCTATCACAGAGGCCCATTCCCATCCCACACACTGTGGTCTGCTCTCTGCCTTCCCACCTGGGCCGAGCTCCTGGCCTTTGGAGTTGCTTCACTCCAGACAGTCCCACCATGATGTAACCTTCCCCCCCTGCAGCTCTTCCTCAGCTCCATCCCCCTCCTTCTCTTGTTCCCCACAGCACAGCCTGATCCAGGCCTCGGAGCTGGTCTTGACCCGGCTTCGACGTCAAGTGGAGCAGAGGAGACGTCGGCTACAGGGGTTGGAGGACGAGGCAGGTGCAGGGCCAGCTGAGAATGCAGCCTCTTAAGCACCCACGCACCCACTCTTCCCAGACCTGGGGCGACTCATGGCGTGCTCACCGCCACCCGCTGGTGGGAGGTCTCCTGAAGGACAGGATGCTGTCCTCAGACCTCCCCAGGGTGGTGAAGCTGTGCCCTGAGACCCCAGCTAACCCACTTCTCTCTCTGTGCCTCAGTGTCCCTATTTGAAAGCAGGGATGATCCCGACCCACCCTGTCCACTCTCGATGAGAATTGGCTAACTGATGGTTATTTATATGTCCAGAAGAACAGCATTTCCCAGTTGTCTCGATTATTTTGTTCGGCAAGCATTTGGTGGGCACCTGCTGTATGCCTGGCTCTGTGTTGGATGCTGGATTCACCCAGAGGAATTGAGGGAGACAGATTTGGGGGAGAGGGAATCCAAGGCTAGACCCAGAAACAGGATGGAGGTTAGGTCCCAGGATAGAACCCAAGAGAAAGAAATGAGGTGACACCTTAGCAGAAAGGCTAAAGTTAAACTGCTGTGGAACAGACTATGTAAAGTGGAAGGAAAAGAACTGAGGTTAGACCCTAGTGGAGTGGGCTGACATGAGACGCCAGTGGAAAGATCTAGATCTGAGGGTAGATCCCAGTTGAAAGGCAAGGAGCTTGAGCGTTTAGAGGAAAACTTGTGGATAGAAAGGGCTGCTGTGGGAGAGCAGTGGTCCATTTGTAGCAGAGGGTCTGAAGCTAGACTCCCTATGAATAATGCTGAGGTTGGACCCCAACAAAAAGTAGGTATGGCCAGACCCCTGCAAGGGGCCTGGGTTAAACCCCAGCAGAAAGTGAGCTTAGTTCCCAGTGGGGAGCACTGAGGCAAGACCCAGGGAGAAGACTTGCAGGCTAGACCATGCTAGAAAGGGCTGTTTAGACCTAATCTAAAATGCCCAGGGGGTTGGGGGCCCAGGGAGCGGGAGACAAGCCTGATTCTCCCAGCCTGTGGTGGTAGGAGTTGCCTTGCCTGTGGTCTTGTGTGTGTATGTGTGTGAGACGGAGTCTCATTCTGTCTCCCAGGCTGGAGTGCAGTGGCACAATCTCTGCTCACAGCAACCTCCGCCTCCCGGTTCAAGCGATTCTCCTGCCTCAGCCGCCTGAATAGCTGGGACTACAAGCGTGCATCACCACGCCCAGCTAAATTTTTTGTATTTTTAGTAGAGACAGGGTTTCACCATGTTGGCCAGGCTGGTCTCAAACTCCTGATCACAGGTGATCCGCCCGCCTCGGCCTCCCAAAGTGCTAGGATGACAGGCGTGAGTCACCGTGCCCGGCCTCCTGTGCTCCTTTCTGTATTACCAGGAGAAGGAATCAGAGGTTTGTGTCTCTAGGACCAGTGGAGGGCGGGAACGATGCAAGTCTTGTCCTCCCTCCACTGCAGGCCAGGAATAGAATCTGGGTCAGCAGGGTTGGGGGATGATCATTTCCTGGGCCATATCCAGGCTGGGGGCAGGAGTTGGGCAGGACACCTGCTTCCTGGGGGGTTCAGGGGAGAGGCAGACACTGTAGTCATTCTGGCCATCTGTCTGCCTCCCGCTATGGAGGTCCACCCAGAAGTCTGACCACCAGCACTGACAGAGAAGACCCAGCCACCAGTTGTCTACCGAGCGTTTATGGGAGTTAGGAGCTCAGCAACTCCTGGCCATCCCTGTCTTCACCTTCTTTCCCAGAAGCCAGGCCCAGGCGTGGGAAGTTGCAGGGAGCCGGATCCTCTCCCTCCCCTGGCAGCAGGCCTGATGGTGTCCAGCCAGGACTGGCAGTGGGAAGGACCGGTGGCACGAGCAGGGCCCCCTCCCTCCCACTGTCCACCTGCGGAGAAGGAGCACACCACACCGACTCACCATCACCCCTTGTCGTGGGGGGGAGCGGGATTGGGAGTGGGGGTAGTGATGGTGTGCCTTGCAGAGGTGTGTGCTTGTGTGGGGGTGTGTGTGTGGGCCCATCAGAGGGCGCATGAGTTTGTGTCTTCAGGAGCGCAGGCCACCTGCCTGGCCCTTTGCAGTTCATTTCTTTCTTTTTAGAGATGGAGTCTCACTCTGTCGCCTAGGCTAGAGTGCAGTGGCGTGATCATAGCTCGCTGCAGCCTCCACCTCGCAGGTTCAAGCGATTCTCCTGCCTCAGCCTCCCAAGTAGCTTACAGGATTACAGGTGTGTGCCACCTCACCCGGCTACTTTTTGTATTTTTAGTAGAGACGGCATTTCGCCTTGTTGGCCAGGCTGGTCTCAAATTCCTGACATCAAGTGATCCGCCTGCGTTGGCCTCCCAAAGTGCTGGGATTACAGGCGTGAGCCACCGTGCCCAACCTGCAGGTCTCTTCTTGACTTGACCCGTCCTCAGCCTGGGGAACTGTACGGTGCAGCAGTTAAGGGTGTAGAATCTGGAGCCATATTTACCACCTCGTGCCTTGGTTTCCCTGTCTGTAAGTGGAGCTCATAATAGCATTTACCTCACAAAGTTGGTGTAAGGGTCGATTGTGTCAACATATGTCCTGAATTTATAAAAAAAAAAAAAGTTAGAACATGCCAGGTGTGGTGGCTCTTACCTGTAATCCCAGCACTTTGGGAGGCCGAGGCAGAAAGATTGCTTCAGCCCAGGAGTTGGAGACCAGCCTGAGTAGCATAGTGAGACCCTGTCTCTTAAAAAAAAAAAAATGGAGGGAAAAAGCCTGGCGTGGTGGTGGCAGGCACCTGTAGTCCCAGCTACTCGGGAAGCTGAGACAGGAGGATGGCTTGAGCCCAGGAGGTTGAGGCTGCAGTGGGCTGAGATCGTGCCACCGCACTCCAGCCTGGGTGACAGAGTGAGACCCTGTCTCAAATAATAATGTGATGCCGATGCCAGGCACGTGGTCAGGGCTGCCTGTATGCATGGCAGCTGTTGTTATTCTTATTAATGGGTGTCTTTGTGGTTGTTTCTGGCCTCCTTTGTGAGGCTGTGCAGGCACAGTATGTGAATTTGGATCTGACTCCAGCTAAACATTCTTGCCCTCCCCCTAGTTCTGTGAGTCTGTAACTATTTGTAGCTGTTGGCCCTTGTATGGCTGGGAGACTGTGTGCGTGTGTCTGTGTGCGTGTGTGTGTGTGTTGGGGGGCGGGGGCTGCTTCTGAAACGCACAGGAGCGCCCTCCGCTGCTGTCCCCTGCCTCTGGTGCTGAACCCGGAGCCTGGGGAGGAGGCTCGGGCTCCCTGCTCCTCCCGCCCTGTTCCCCCAGGCCCCTCCCCGGGCCTCCCCCGCCTCCCGCACCGCCTCCCCTCTGCCCGCCTCCGCCTCCTCCCCCTCTCTCCGGCTCCTCCCCCTCTCTCGCTCCCTCGCCGACTCCCCCTCCCCCGTGTCCCTCCCCTCTCCTCCTCTCCTCCCTCTATCCCCTCTCCCTCCCCTCCTCCCCGGCTCTCCCTCTCAGTCTCCAGCTTTTCTCTCTCTCAATCTCTCTCTCTCTTTCGGGCGGAGTCGCCCACCACTGCCAGCCCAGCGCTGGGGGGACCTGCTGCAGGCTGTAGCCGCAGGTAAGAGACCCCATTGGTGGGTAGGTGGGGGCGTGGGAAAAGGACGGGGTTACCCCAGGCGCGGAATGGGGGCGGTTCGGGAAGCCTGGAGCTGGCTTCCCTGGGCTGGTTTATGGAGGTGGGGGGCTGCCTGGCCCAGCACGGGTACCTTCTGTGGGGTGGGAGTGCCACCAGCCGCCCCAACACCTTCAGCCCCTCCTGGTTCTCAGGCGGCTGGGGAGGGGGGCCGCCTGGGTACTGAGGGGGGAGGACACCCCGCCCCCACCCCGTCTGGGGCACCCCCCCCCCCCGCGCTCTCTACCTCCGCCCCCGCCTTCCTGTGTCTGGGTCTCATCTTTCTGTCTCTCCACATCTCTCAGGGGTCTCTGTCTAGCAGAGTCTGGCCGCCTCTGGGAGTCCCTGTCTCTCAGTCTCTCACTCCTGTCTCACTCTCTCTGTGTCTCTGTGCCGGGGGGGCTCTGTCTCTACTGTCTCTAAGTCCTGGGTTTCTCTCTCCTTTCCTCTTGCGCCATCTCTGTTTCTCTGTGTCTCTGTGTCTCTGCCTCTCTCCCCTGTCTCAGCTTTCCTGTGTCTCTCTCTGTCTCTGCTTTCTCCGTGTCTCTGTCTCTTCCCATGTCCGCGTCTCTCTCTCCCTCTCTCTCTTTCTCTCTCTCCCCCTCATCTCCATCTCTGTCTCTGGGTATCTCAGTCTCTGTTTCTGTCTCTCTTTCCTCTTCTCTGGCTCTCCCTGGGAGCCAGTGCGCCCTCCTCCTACACACCACTGTCTCCGCCCCTGGCAGGGGAGACCTGGAGGAAGAAGACCTCCCCCACCCGCAGAGTGGGCTCCCCCAGGCCTGGAGTCCTCTAAACTACTCTCCCCACTTGAGCAGAGCTCCCTTGCTCTCTCCGGTCCTCCCAGCCAGCACCCACCCCAACTCTCCCCTGAGAACCCAGACCGCCTCCCCTTGCCTTGTTTCTGACATTCTGAAGCTGGTCCTTCTTGCAGTTTAACCGGTAGCCTTTGTAGTAGAGATGAGACCAGACCTCCCTTCAATCTAACCTCCCCATTCTTCCTCGTATAACTGGACTAGTCCTTCCTACCGTCTAACTTCCATACCTCTTGCTGTTTGTTCAGCTCTTGATTCATTCATTCTTGTTGATAATTACTGAGCGCCTTTCCTGCTCCAGGCAAGCACTGGGTACTGGGTTAGACCAGGCCAGTCCTTCCTGCAGTCTCACTTCCATCCCTTTCCTGGTGTGCCAACCTCACACCTGTCTCAGTGGGGGTGGGTCTCAACAGCTTCTCCGCCACCTCTTGGGGGGTGTTGAGAGGGCCCTGGCCAACACACTGTCTGCCTTCCTTGAGTGAAGGGGGCCCTGGAGAAGGTGGGTGAGAGAGTGAGTGATGGAGAAAAGGTATGAGGCTGTGCCTGTAGCCCTGGTCTGTGTGTGTGTGTGTGTGTGTGTGTGTGTGTGTGTGTGTCTCCCTGGCTGCAGGTGAGGTCCCAGCCCTGTCTGACAGTGCCTGTGGGGGGCTTCAGATGACTTTAAAGAGCACTAGGTTAACAGCCCTGTTCCTCCTTTGGACCTCAGTTTACCTATTATCAGTGTATCACAACCCCAAGCACCCAAACCCTGTGATGTGATCCCTACACTGGACCATTTCGAGGTGGTTGGGAGCGCCTGGGCTCACGCTGGGGCAGTAAATGTGCATGTTGAGAAGTCTGAGGGCCAGCCCCCCAATACAGGCACAGTCAGGAAAGCACCCCTCGCAGCACTGCCCCACTGTGGGGTGGCAGCGTGAGGGATATGAGGGAGGGGTCTTACCTGGCACGCCAGACTGCACCCACCCCCAGGCACGCAGTCCCGTTCTTCTGACCAAGGACCCAAGAGGCGCGTGAGGTGGAACAGGGGTGCTCACTGCTGACCCGTTGGCCACGGGCCCACAAAGGGAGGGAGAGATGGCCCTGGGAGATGGTGCCTGCCATCTGCCCTCCCCATTCCCACCCTGGGCTCCACCTGATCCTTTTGCCCCTGGATTCTAAAAGCAGATTGGGTTTCAGGGCTGCTGGTGGATGGCGAGGCAGAGGTAGGAGCCGGGAGCAGAGGGAGCCCGTGGTCCCCAGTGACAGGGCTCAGACCTCTTGCTTTGTCTCCCTGACTGCTCCTCCCGCAAGGCCCCAGCGAGAAACCAGGTTTTGCAGGAAAAAGGGATTGCCCTAGGCTGTACTTGACCCAGACCCTGGGCTAGGAGGGTGGACATGAGAGCCCTCATCACCTGGCCCTGGTCTCCCTTGAGAACTGCAGCAGCAGGGGCAGGTGGTTAAAGCTGAGGGAGGAATTCCCAGGCCGAGGCTCCCTCCCGGAGAGAGTGGGGTTTGGTTCGATGCTTTAGAAGAATTCCTGACTCCTGTTTCTCCTGAAAGCCGGGGAGGCGGAGGGAGAAGGGAGCACGAGTCTTTGCTTTGGATCCTGGTGGGTTTGTAATTATGCCTAAGTTGTTGCTAATTAGGGGGCTGCTAATTAGACGTATCATTAGGGGCCTTGCTGAGGGGGCTAATTGTGCAGTGCCCTTTAAGAATCACCCCTGTCCCCCGCCCCTGCCTGCACACACACACACACACACACACACACACGCACGCACACAGGCGTGCTCCTCGCTTGCTATCTCCTTCTTGGGAAGTTCTGCCAACACGCTGCCTCCCTCCCCCAGAGGAGCCAGCTCCCAGCCCATGGGTACGTGGGTGTGAGTTGGGGACAGGCTGTGGGTTAGACGCTCAGAAGAACTTTTCAGGCAAATGGAAGCCCCTGGAAGAAATGAGGCTGGTGGCAGAGGGGTCTGGGAGCATGGAGGCTCCCAGGACACCTCTCTTCCTCTCTCCCTCCCTTTTTGATAAGCCACTGGGTTACCATGGCAACGCGAGGGTGGGGCGGACGAGCTCAGAGTCAGGGCCACTCTTGGAGAGACGACCTGGGAGCCAGAGTTGGTGCTGGATGATGTGGGCAAGTTCCGTAACCTCTCTGCACCTTGGTCCTCTCACCTGTGGAATGGAGGGGCACTCCCCAAAGGGGGAGGATGTCATTTTGGATGGGGTGTTCGGGGAAGGTGACATCAGAGTGGAAACCCGAAAGGGAGGAGGGAGCAAGGCTAGTGGATATGTGGGGAAGAGTGGGCCAGGCACGGTGGCGTGCGCCTGTGATCTCAGCACTTTGGGAGGCCAAGGCAGATGGAGCGCCTGAACCCAGGAGTTCAAGAACAGCCTGGGCAACAAAGAGACTCCCGGCTCTACAAAAGATTAGCTGGGTGTGGTGGTGCACGCCTGTACTTCCCGCTACTTGGGAGGCTGAGGAGGGAGGATCGCTGAGCCCTGGAGGTCGAGGCTGCAGTGAGCTGTTACGGCGCCGCTGCACTCCAGCCTGGGCGACAGAGCGAGACCCTGTCTCAAAACTAAATACACAAATAGAGAAGTGTGTTCAAGGAAGGGGGAACAGCAGGTGCCAGGGCTCCAAGGCAGAAGCTTGTCTGCTGAGGCTGAGGAGCAGAGGGGAGGCGAGGGTGGCTGAGGCAGACTGGGTGAGGGGGAGAGGGCGGAAAAAGAGGCCAGAGAGGGGTTCGGGGTCAGATTGCGCCGGACCTCACAGGCCCTGGAGAGGACATTGGTGCTGTGAGTGAGATGGGAGCCATGGGGGGTTCTGAACAGCAGAGGGATGATGCGAGCCGATTTGTGGGCTTTTTTGTTGTTGGTTTTGTTTTGTTGTTTTTTTTTTTGAGACAGAGTCTGCTTTTGTCGCCCAGACTGGAGTGCCATGGCATGATCTCGGCTCACTGCAACCTCCGCCTCCCTGGCTCAAGCAATTCTCATGCCTCAGCCTCCTGAGTAGCTGAGATTACAGGCACACGCCACCACACCTGGCTAAATTTTTTATTTTTATTTTTTTTTATTTTTTGTATTTTTGGTAGAGACAGGGTTTCACCACGTTGGCCAGGCTGGTCTCAAACTCCTGACCTCAAGTGATCCACCTGCCTCAGCCTTAAAGTGGTAGGATTACAGGTGTGAGCCACCGTGTCCAGCAATTTGTGTTTTAAAAGGAAACCCAGATAAGACACGATAATAGCCACTCAAACTCAGCACCAGAGGCAGGGAGAGAAATAAGGAAACAGTAGATCCCCCACACCCACAAATGGGACAGAAGGCCCGGCCCAGGGCCTTGGATGTCACAGCCCCTAAGGAACGGCACCACTTACAGAGCCTGGGGAAAAGCCCAGGTCAGACAGAGGGAAGCTGGAGAGACTGATGCCTGCTACCACCTTGGGGAGGGACATGAATGAGACCCTCCAGCAACCCCTCGCCAGCTCTACTTGAAACAGACAGACATGGTCCAACACCCACCACAGCCCAAATCCTGCACAAGAGCTTTCACAGGGCCGAGTTGGAGACTGAATCTCCTAACAAACTCAGAGCCTCCTGCTCCCTGCCTCTCAGTGAATTTTGCAGTTTGTGTGCTTTTGTGCCTGGCTTCATTCAGCCGTTGTGACATCTGTGAGATTCATCCATGTGCTGGGTGCAGCAGCAAATAATTCACTCCCTTTTCAGTGCTCTATAATATTCCACTGTGCAAATCCTCCAAACGTCTGGCTCCATTTTACTGCTGATAGGCCTCTGGGTTGTTTCAAGATTGATGCTATTATAAATAAAGCTGCTATGAACATTCTTATTTTATTTTATTTTATTTTATTTGAGATGAAGTCTCACTCTGTCACCCAGGTTAGACTACAGTAGCGCCATCTCAGCTCACTGCAACCTCCGCCTCCCAGGTTCAAGCGATTCTCTTGCCTCAGCCTCCCGAGTAGTTGGGGTTACAGGCTCCCGCCACCCTGCTCAGCTAGTTTTTGTATTTTTAGTAGAGACGAGGTTTCACCATGTTGGCCAGGCTGGTCTCGAACTCCGGACCTCAGGTGATCCACCCACCTCAGCCTCCCAAAGTGCAGGGATTACAGGTGTGAGCCACTGCGCCTGGCTCCTTAGTGGACATAAGGACCTATTTCTCAGGCACATACCGAGGAGCAAAACTGCTGAATTGCACGATGAGTGGTGTGTTCGGCTGTAGTTTCCCGAAGTGCATAGACCAATCTGCATTCCCACCAGCAGCGCACGGGGGTTCCTCTGTCCTTATCTTTCAGTCTTTCTCTCTCTGTGGGTCTCTGGCACTCTCTGTGTCTCTCTGTGTCTGCATCACCCTGGGTCCCCATCCTCCCTGCATTGGTCCTCAGCTTCTCCCCTAACCCTCCTTCCCCAGTGAGCTTTGACCTTTATGTTAGAGAAAGGGGTTTGCTTCCCTCACCCAGACCTCCTCCTCCTTCCCCACAGGACCCCACCACCCCCCATGGCTCCCCTGGCCTTGGTGGGGGTCGCACTCCTCCTGGCGGCTCCCCCATGCTCCGGGGCAGCCACCCCAACCCCCTCCCTGCCGCCTCCCCCGGCCAATGACAGCGACACCAGCACAGGGGGCTGCCAGGGGTCCTACCGCTGCCAGCCGGGGGTGCTGCTGCCCGTGTGGGAGCCCGACGACCCATCGCTGGGTGACAAGGCGGCACGGGCAGTGGTCTACTTTGTGGCCATGGTCTACATGTTTCTGGGAGTGTCCATCATCGCCGACCGCTTCATGGCGGCCATCGAGGTCATCACATCAAAAGAAAAGGAGATCACCATCACCAAGGCCAACGGCGAGACCAGCGTGGGCACCGTTCGCATTTGGAATGAGACAGTGTCCAACCTCACGCTCATGGCCCTGGGCTCCTCTGCCCCCGAGATCCTGCTGTCAGTCATCGAGGTCTGCGGTCACAACTTCCAGGCGGGTGAGCTGGGCCCAGGCACCATCGTGGGCAGCGCTGCCTTCAACATGTTTGTGGTCATCGCCGTGTGCATCTATGTCATCCCAGCCGGCGAGAGCCGCAAGATCAAGCACCTGAGAGTCTTCTTCGTCACTGCCTCTTGGAGCATCTTCGCCTATGTTTGGCTTTATCTCATCCTTGCCGTTTTTTCCCCGGGTGTGGTCCAGGTGAGCAAAGACCCATGGATGCTTTCTTGGTGCATGTGTGTCTGGAAAATGCAGAGAGGTGGCTCTTGGCTTGGAATGTTGATTGGTGTATTTGCAGAAATGCACGCTCACATCTGAGAGGGCTGCTAAGTACAGTTGTGCAGGTCACAGACTGCACAAGGGGATTAAGCCAAACAGGGCAAGTCCTGCTGGGGGGAGCTGGAGTCCTGCTGATGCTACCCAGCCATATCTCTGGAGGGTGTAGCAAACATTGATTTGCCCGGAGGGATGCACTGTTTTGCGCTTAATAACAGTATGCTCATTTGGAAGGGGCACCTTTTAGCTCCAAAAGGGTGTTGTATGTACTAACAGAGCCCCTGTGATCTGTGTAATGCATGCTAGGTATGTTCACATGTTTTCCTACACTCCCTACCTTTTGCATAATTGAGTCCCGCTTTTGCAATAAGACATCCTCCATTCACATAATTCATACTACCCTCGCATGTAATCCAGCCTTCTGTTTTCCGACGTTGCTAATTGACTTGAGTAACTTAGTGCAATTTGCATAATTTATCCACAGGCTTGCATAGATACATACCTACATCTGCATAATTTAGCCATTTGCCAGATATGTAATCACGGTTTGCATGATTCATTCATTATTCATCATCAGTTTCTGATGTTGGGATAATTTATGCCACTTCAGTGTAATGTATACTCTCATCCAACGCAACATCGATATAAGCCCAGTGACTGCTTTGCATAATTTATTCCAATAGTGAGACAAAATTTAGACCCACAGCTGCATAATTTATACCTATATTCTCATAATCATTAGCCTTTCGCTCAGCCCGTGTCTTTTTTTTTTTTTTTTTTTTTTTTTTGAGGCGGAGTTTCGCTCTGTCGCCCAGGCTGGAGTGCAGTGGCCGGATCTCAGCTCACTGCAAGCTCCGCCTCCCGGGTTCCCGCCATTCTCCTGCCTCAGCCTCCCGAGTAGCTGGGACTACAGGCGCCGCCACCACGCCCGGCTAGTTTTTTGTATTTTTTAGTAGAGACGGGGTTTCACCGTGTTAGCCAGGATGGTCTCGATCTCCTGACCTCGTGATCCGCCCGTCTCGGCCTCCCAAAGTGCTGGGATTACAGGCTTGAGCCACCGCGCCCGGCCTCAGCCCGTGTCTTAACCTGTATACTGTGTAGTCTTCCTTGACAATGTTTGCCTAATGTATTTCCCACAACCCCATGACTGCCTCCTACATTTGCATAATTTATTTATGGGCCTGGCCTAATTCAGTCACACACATGCATAATTTATTTGCAGGTGTCCAGGATTCATTCACACATGTGTGTAATCTATTTTTGCCTATCTGTCAGGTTTCTGCCAGTTACAGTTTCTTCCCAGGAAGGATCTGAGGCAACAGACAGAAAAATGCCTTGTGGGTTTTCTATGAAGGAGGATATATAACAGAGAGATCAGAAGCCACAGTGAGGAAAGGGGAGGACAGTGACACCAGAAGACAGGGCTCCTGAAAGAGGGAGAGAGAAAGAGGAGAGAATTTCCCATCTGCCATGGTGAAAAGCATGCAGTGATATATCATATAGTTTCAGGTGCTGTTAAAATGAAGTCAGCGTCCTGACTTAGGCTTTCAAAAAGGCTTTTGAAGCCAGGTGTGGTAGCTCATGCCTGTAATCCTAGCACTTTGGGAGGTCGAGGCAGGACCTGAGATCAGGAGTTTGAGACCAACCTGGCCAACATGGTGAAACCCCATCACTACTAAAAATACAAAAATTAGCCCGGCATGGTGGTGCCCGCCTGTAATCCCAGCTACTCGGGAGGCTGAGGCAGGAGAATCTCTTAAACCTGGGAGGCGGAAGTTGCAGTGAGCCAAGAGGGCCCCACTGTACTCCAGCCCGGGTGACAGAGTGAGACACTCTCAAAAAAGAAAGAAAAGAAAGGAAGAAAGGAGAATGTAACAGATATTTTGTTATATCCCCTTTATTTCAGCTGATATGAAATTCTTAGGTAATAACAGAGAGATCTTGTAGCCTCAGAGTTTGATCCATGCACCTGAAGCCAGAGATCTGGGTTCAAATCCCACCTCTGCCTTTCCCTCACTGTGTGACCTACGGCAGGTTCCTTAGCTTCTCCATGCCTCAGTTTCTCCACGTGTAAAACGGGGATCATGAGAGTGCTGACTTCATAGGGCTGCCATGAGGATTAGCTGAATTGCTCCGTGTGGAAAGACTTAAAATAGTCTGCCTGGAACAGAGTAAATGTTAGCTATTCATTAACAAACTCCCCTATGCATTTGGCTTCCAAAAAGTCAATATAATGTCCAAACTGTAATATAATGTCCAAACTGTTACAAAGAAAAGATTTCTCATTTTTTTTTTTTTTTTGAGACGGAGTCTTGCTCTGTCGCCCAGGCTGGAGTGCAGTGGCATGATCTTGGCTCACTGCAATCTCCACCTCCCAGGTTCAAGCGATTCTCCTGCCTCAGCCTCCCGAGTAGCTGAGATTACAGGTGTGCGCCGCCACGCCCAGCTAAATTTTGTATTTTTAGTAGAGACAGGATTTTGCCATGTTGGCCAGGATGGTCTTGAACTCCCGACCTCAAGTGATTACAGGCGTGAGCCACTGTGCCCGGCCGAAAGAAAAGGTTTCTAACAGAACAGTGCATTTCCACCTGGAAATGCTTCATCACAACTACCCTCATGACAAGGGAGCCAAGTGCAGGCATCGATTTATAGTTGGGCTTCAGAGAAAGAAAAAGATCAGAAACCATTGCATGCAAGAAGTCTAGGAAGAGGAACAGGTAGCCACGAGACTTAAAACAAGTGTATTTGGAGTATGTGAAACCATACATAAGGCCAGGCACAGTGGCTCACACCTGTAATCCCAGCACTTTGGGAGGCTGAGGTGGATGGATCACCTGAGGTCATGAGTTCGAAACCAGCCTGACCAACATGGTGAAACCCCATCTCTACTAAAAATACAAAAAATAGCTGGACATAGTGGCGGGTGCCTGTAATTCCAGCTACTCGGGAGGCTGAGGCAGGAGAAATGCTTGAACCTGGGAGGTGGAGGTTGCAGTGAGCTGAGATTGGGCCACTGCACTCCAGCCTAGGCAACAGAGATAGACTTCATCTCGGGGGGGGGGGGGGGTAAAAAAGACATTTAAAAAAGATATAAACGATATATATAAGCCGGGCGCAGTGGCTCACGCCTGTAATCCCAGCACTTTGGGAGGCCGAGGTGGGTGGATTACCTGAGGTCGGGAGTTCAAGACCAACCTGACCAACATGGAGAAACCCTGTCTCTACTAAAAATACAAAATTAGCCAGGTGTGGTGGTGCATGCCTGTAATCCCAGGTACTCGGGAGGCTGAGGCAGGAGAATCACTTGAACCCGGGAGGCGAAGGTTGCGGTGAGCTGAGATTGCGCCATTGCACTCCAGCCTGGGCAACAAGAGCAAAACTCCGTCTCAAAAAAGAAAGAAAAAAAAAAAGAAATACATAAAACAGAGTTATAAATTCTAACTATCATAAACAGTGTTTTCACACATAAGAACGTTAGTGGCAGGTTCTGAAATAAGCCGGCGTATGGGACATTTCTGTATTGTGTGGGACTGTCCCATGAGTTGCTGGATGTCACCGGGCCAGGAAAGGCCAAGACCACGTCCCCCTCCCTAGTGATGATGGAAGCCCATAAACACCCCCAGATTTCCAATACTCTATCTCAGGGGTGCGCCTGCTCCACTGAGGCCTGAAAATGTCACAGTGCCCTCGCAGGCTGGACACATTCTTAGTGGGTGCTCTAGAAAAACATTGTGAATCGGCTAGAATCATCTTTTATTTACCTGCAGGAAGGAAGAAAAATCTTAGGGGTTTGGGATTGTCTTCTGATGAATAGACTCCCTTGCAATATACATAGTGGTAGGTTCAATTAATAGAAGGGAGAGAGTTCATTTCACAGCTTGCACTGAACATTCGGCTCCTTTTCCCAAATCTGCCTGTTGGCTTCATGCAGCTTTACTATTTGCAAGTCTTGCCTGTTCTCTGAGCCATCAGTAAACACAGTGATAGCAGGGTGTGGCAACCGGATCTTAGATATTTTTCCTACCAGGGTTGTTTTTAAGATGTTTCAGGGGCCTGCTCTTTTTTTTTTTTTTTGAGGTGGAGTCTCACTCTGTCCCCCAGGCTGGAGTTCAGTGGTGCAATCTCCGCTCACTGCAACCACCACCTCCCAGATTTAAGCGATTCTCCTGCCTCAGCCTTCCTAATAGCTGGGATTATAGGCGCACACCGCCACACTTGGCTGATTTTTGTATTTTTAGTAGAGATGGGGTTTCACCATGTTGGCTAGGCTGGTCTCGAACTCCTGAGCTCAAGTGATCCACCCACCAGGGCCTCCCAAAGTGCAGGTATTACAGGCGTGAACCACCGTGCCTGGTCTTCGAGGGCCTTCTCATCGTAAATACTCTTTTTTTTTTTTTGAAATGGAGTCTCGCTCTGTCTCCAGGCTGGGAGTGCAATGGTGTGATCTCAGCTCACTGCAACCTCCGCCTTCCGGGTTCAAGCAATTATCCTGCCTCAGCCTCCCGAGTAGCTGGGATTACAGGCGTGTGCCACCATGCCCAGCTAATTTTTGTATTTTTAGTAGAGACGGGGTTTCACCATGTTGGCCCTCGTGATCTGTCTGCCTTCACCTCCCAAAGTGCTGGGATTACAGGCGTGAGCCACCGTGCCTGGCCCATAAATACTCTTTAATTTTTTCTTCTTCATCTTTCATGGGAAAGGTAACATTTGAATCTTTCCATGAATATCTTCAAGGCGAACCCTCGAGTCTTGGTGGATGCTTTCCATGTGCCAGGCCTGTGCCGGACCACCAGCAGACTGAGTCTTGGGCCTCTGTGAGCCCGAGATCATAGTACTAAATAATAATGATGGCGATGTTCTTTTTTTTCTTTTTTTTTTTAAGACACAGTCTTACTCTGTCACCCTGACTGGAGTGCAGGGACGTGATCTCGGCTCACTGCAACCTCCCCCTCCTGGGCTCAAGCAGTTCTCCCACCTCAGTCATCCAAGTAGCTGGGATTACAGATGCACACCACCACACCTGGCTAGTTGTGTATTTTTGGTAGATATGGGGTTTCACCATGTTGGCCAGGCTGTTCTCGAACTCCTGGCCTCAGGTGATCCACCCACTCTGGCCTCCTGAAGTGCTGGGATTACAGGCGTGAGCCACCGTTCTTGGCCAGGCAATGTTAATTTCACATCTTGAGTCTTTTTCATGTGTCAGAAACTGAGAATGCTGTGTGCTAGGAATGCATGTGCTCATTCAGTCTTGGAAATGTCCCCATTTTATAGACCAAGAGGCGAGATAGTCATCCCTGTGGCAAAGTCAGGCTCCAAACTCAGAGCTGCCCTGCCTGTGCATTGGAACTGGTTTTATGGGCAGAAGAGCCAGATGTGTGTCTCTATTAGAGACATGACGCCTGTCCATGAGGGCCAGGAAGATGCTAAGGAGGCACTGGCGGGGGTCATGGGTGGGGAATTGAGGGTGTTTGGGTGAACCGAGAGCAGGCCCTGGATGATGGACAAGGTTTGGAGAAGTAGAGGCACCCCCAGGTGATGGGGGAGAAATGGGGCAGGCAGAAAAAAGATGGAGGGAGAGAGAGGCCAGAAGAGACACAGGCTCTGTCCCTTGACAGCAGCTGGGACCACAGGGTGGGGATTGTCTTGGTAGTGGATGAGGATGTCTGGGTTCCTGGCACCTAGGCAGCCGGGCATGGTTCTCAGCATCTGAAAGGTGGATAGATGGATGAATGAGGAGACCAGGAGACAAAGAGAACACATACACACATGTGTGCACGCATACACACACGCACACGCACACAGATGGACACACACGCACACACACAGATGGACACACACACATGCACTCACACACACATGCACACACACATTGCAGGCACACACAGACACACATGCACACACACATGCATGCACACGCACACATACACACGCGCACATGCACACAGAGATGGGGAGTGAGATAGGGAGGGAGAGAGAGAGAAAAGTAGCTCTGGAGAAACACAGATATTGAGAAAGAGAAAGAAACTCACAAGGGACGGAAATAGGTATCTACCAATAGATATAAAAGAAGGACATGGAGACAAGGAGACCCAGGCGACAAGAAAAGAGAGGGAGCCAGGAAGAGAGAGGAGGAGGAAAGGCTAAGAAAACCATTGAGACAGAGGCAAGGAGGGAAAGAGACAGCGGCACACACAGAGAGCGATGTAGAGAGGCAGAGACGAACAGGAACAGAGAGAGAGAGAACGAGATGGAGAGAGAGATATAAATGTGGGGGGATGGGGAGAGGCCAGAGACAAAAAGGGAGGACACAGTTAAAAAGAGATGGGAGGAAGGCGAGGGAGAGAGATGGGGAGAGGCAGAGGTGAACAGAAATAAGAAGGAAATAGAGAATAAGTGAGGAACAGAGAGACAAAGAGATGGAGAGGAATGGGAGCAAGGAGAGAGAGAGAAAAGGGGGTGGGGAGAGATGGGGAAAGGCAGAGATGAGCAGAGACAGAGACAGGGAGGGACAGAGACAGAACGAGATGGAAAGGGGTGGGAGAAAGGAGACAGATGAGGAGAGAGAGATGGGGAGAGGGAAGAGAGGTGAACAGAGACAAGAGGGACATAGAAACTAAGATAAGGGGCCGGGCGCGGTGGCTCAAGCCTGTAATCCCAGCACTTTGGGAGGCCGAGACGGGCGGATCACGAGGTCAGGAGATCGAGACCATCCTGGCTAACACGGTGAAACCCCGTCTCTACTAAAAAGTACAAAAAAAAAAAAAAAAAACAAAAACAAAAAAACTAGCCGGGCGAGGTGGCGGGCGCCTGTAGTCCCAGCTACTCCGGAGGCTGAGGCAGGAGAATGGCGTAAACCCGGGAGGAGGAGCTTGCGGTGAGCAGAGATCCGGCCACTGCACTCCAGCCTGGGTGACAGAGCCAGACTCCGTCTAAAAAAAAAAAAAAAAGAAACTAAGATAAGGACGGGGAAAGGAGATACAGAGAAATGGGGATGGGGTGAGGGAAAAAAGTAGCTCTGGAGAAACACAGATATTGAGAGAGAAAGAGAAAGAAACTCACAAGGGAGAGAGATGGAGATCTACCAAAAGATATAAAAGGGCATGGAGACATGTCCAGACATGGGGAGAGGCAAGAGCCAAACAGAGACCAAAAGGGAGGGACAGAGATAGAAAGAGATGGAGAGAGGTGGGGGAAGGAGAGGGAGAGAGAGAAATGGTGGGGAGAGAGAGATGGGGAGAGAGAGATGAACAGAGACAAGAGGGAGGTTGAGAGAAACTAAGAGAGGGGTGAGAAAGGAGGAGGAGAGAGGTGGGGAGAGGCAGAGATGAACAGAGAGAGAACGAGATGGAGAGAGATGGGGGAAGGAGAGGGAAAGAGAAATGGGGGGAAATAGAGAACTCCGGGGAGAGAGATGGGGAGAGGCAGAGATGAACAAAGTCAGACAAAAAGGGAGGGCCAGAGATAGAAGGAGACAGAGCGAGATGGGGGAAGGAGCGGGAGGCAGAGAAATGGTGGGGGAGAGAGATGGGGAATGGCAGAGACGAACAGAGACAGAAGGAGGTGGGGAGAGACGGGGAGAGGGGAGGAGAGAGAGACAGGGAGAGGCAAAGATGAACAGAGATGGAGAGAGATGAGAGAAGAAGAGGGAGAGAGAGAAATGGGGGAAACAGAACTCGGGAGAGAGACATGAAGAGAGGCAGAGATGAACAGAGACAGAAAGAGGTGGGGAGAGACGGAGCGGGGGAGGAGAAAGAGAGATGGGGAGAGGCAGAGATGAACAAAAACAGAGACAAGGCTCACACCTATAGTCCCAGCACTTTGGGAGCTCAAGGCGGGAGGATCACGAGGTCAGGAGTTGAAGACCAGCCTGGCCAACATGGTGAAACCCCGTCTCTGCTAAAAAAAAAAAAAAAAAAAAAAAAAAAATACAAAAATTAGCTAGGCATGGTGGCGCATGCCTGTAATCCCAGCTACTCGGGAGGCTGAGGCGGGAGAATTCCTTGAACCGGGACCCGGGAGGCCAAGGTTCAATGTTTAGTGCGCGAGGCCGCGCCACTGCACTCCAGCCTGGGCTACAGAACAAGACTCTGTCTCAAAAACAAAACAAAACGAAACAAAACAAAACAGCAGAGAAAGGGATAGGGAGAGACGGCAGGCTTGGGGGTTGTGGGGAGAGATGGGGAGCGGCAGAGGCGGGGTGGGAGGAGGCGGCCCGCCCGGCCTTGCCCTGACGCCCGCCGCCCGCAGGTGTGGGAGGCGCTGCTGACCCTGGTCTTCTTCCCGGTGTGCGTGGTATTCGCCTGGATGGCCGACAAGCGGCTCCTCTTCTACAAGTATGTGTACAAGCGCTACCGCACCGACCCGCGCAGCGGCATCATCATAGGCGCAGAGGGCGACCCCCCGAAGAGCATCGAGCTGGACGGCACGTTCGTGGGCGCCGAGGCCCCAGGCGAGCTGGGCGGCCTGGGCCCGGGCCCCGCCGAGGCGCGCGAGCTGGACGCCAGCCGCCGCGAGGTCATCCAGATCCTCAAGGACCTCAAGCAGAAGCACCCGGACAAGGACCTGGAGCAACTGGTGGGCATCGCCAACTACTACGCGCTGCTGCACCAGCAGAAGAGCCGCGCCTTCTACCGCATCCAGGCCACTCGGCTCATGACCGGCGCTGGGAACGTGCTGCGCAGACACGCGGCGGACGCCTCACGCAGGGCGTCGCCAGCCGAGGGCGCGGGCGAGGACGAGGACGACGGCGCCAGCCGCATCTTCTTCGAGCCCAGCCTCTACCACTGCCTGGAGAACTGCGGCTCCGTGCTGCTGTCCGTCACGTGCCAGGGCGGCGAGGGCAACAGCACCTTCTACGTGGACTACCGCACTGAGGACGGCTCGGCCAAGGCGGGCTCCGACTACGAGTACAGGTGGGTCCCCCGGGGTGGGGGGTGTGCAGAGGACTGGCGCAGGCCGTGGGTCCCACCGTCCAGCGGCCTCCAGGCTCATCGCCTGCCGACTGCCTCTTGCAGGATTCATTTGTTCATTCATTCATTCCTGAGAGCCTGCTTTGTGCCAGGCACTGTTCCAGACGTGGGGCACACACCACTGGACCAGGCAGAGAGCATGGCTATCCGAAGGCTACCCCTCCCACCTTCATTATCTACCTCTGGGTTTTTGTTTGTTTGTTTGAGATAGAGTCTCACTATGTTGCCCAGGCTGGAGTAAGTGGGACAATCTCCACTGAATGCAACCTCTGCCTCCCAGGTTCCAGCGATTCTTGTGCCTTGGCATCTTGAGTTGCTGGGATTATAGGCGTGTGCCACCACACTCGGCTTATTTCTGTACTTTTAGTAGAGATGGGGTTTCACCACGTTGGCCAGGCTGGTCTCCAACTCCTTGCCTCAAGTGATCCACCTACCTCAGCCTCCCAGAGTGCTGGGATTACAAGCGTGAGCCATTGTCTGGCCATGTTCTATGTTTTGTTGTCTGGTAAAACAGCTGTCTCCTCATGTGCATAAGAACATTAATGTTTACTGGGCACCTACCATGTGTCAGGTGCTGGCCACAGGCACTCAGTGCACATGATGAATGAGACAAACTCTCAGTCTTCACACCACTCCTCCTGCATTCTTTATCTTTCCATGGTTTTGTGCTGACGCCACACTGTTTTAATTATTGTAGCTCCATTATGTGTATTGCTACCTGGTACAATAAGCCTTCTCCCACCATTACTAAAGTAAAAATGCTTACTGAGCACGCACTATATGCCAATAGGTATACCATAGGGAAGAAGACAGCTAAGGTCCTTGCCCTCAAATTGCAATAAGGATACAAACTACTAAACATATAAACACTTGAAGTGGCAATAAGTGTGATGGAGAAAAATAAAATAGGAGTGGAGGAGACAGACGCTGGCTAAAGGTCTTTGGTTCCACCATAAAGCAACTCACCTATCACCCTCTACCATATCTCACAGCCCCAGTCCCTCTCCTTACCCCTCTCCTTGCAAATCTGTGATATTCTCTCATTTAACAGTTCCTCCTGAGCACCTACTGTGTGCCAGATGCCTTTATTTAGGGGATCAACCTAGAACAATAACCAAGATAGATAAGATCTCTGTTGTCACATGGCCCACAAAATTCATCTATTTTTAGTTCTGTCCATGCCACACTATTTTAAGATTTACAGCTTTACAGTATGTTCCTTTCAGTGATTTTCACCAGCTTACATCAGGCTTTGAACAGTATGTGTTGTTAATTCATGCACAAGTCTCCCCTTTCCCATAATGACATTTATCATGTGTCCACAATGTGCAAGGAACAGATAAACAGATCTGGCACTGGTGACTAGTGGTGAACAAAACTCATAAAGTCTCTGCCCAAATGGAGCTCACATTCTCCTGGGAAAGACAGGCAATTAGGAAGTAAACATGGATTACATAAAAATGCCAGGTAGTGATAGGAGCTGTGAAGAAAAATAAATCAGGAGACAGGGAGAAAGAAGGCCAGTGGCTGAGCTCTTCCGAGGTTCTATCTGCTCAGTAGTCTGGCACATCCCCCTTTAATCTTCTCCCTGGGGTACAGCTGAGGCTGAACTGTTCCCAGATCTTTAGTTCTGCCATCAAGCAGCAGTCAATCCCTCATCCCTTTAACCCTCTCTTCCTGGGACTCAGTTCGCTCATCTTCTCTCTTCTCCTCTCTTCTCTCCTCTCCCCTCTCCCCTTTCTCTCCTCTATCTCCTCTACTCTCTCTCCTCTCTTCCTTTCTTCTTTTTCTCAGAGTTTCACCCTTGTTGCCCAGACTTGAGTAGAGTGGTGCGATCTCGGCTCACTGAAACCTCCACCTTCCGGGTTCAAATGATTCTTCTGCCTCAGCCTCCCAAGTAGTTGGGATTATAGGCACCCACCACCACACCCAGCTAATTTTTGGTACTTTCAGTAGAGATGGGGTTTCACCATGTTGGTCAGGCTGGTCTTGAACTCCTGACCTCAGGTGATCTACCCACCTCGGCCTCCCAAAGTGCTGGGACTACAGGCGTGAGCCACCGCACCTGGCAGTTCTCTGTTTCATAGATCTTGAGTTCTACCACTGTGTGCCTGGCTGCCTTTTGTAGCCAGTCTTCCCTCTCCGCCCTCATCACTTCTCTTTCCAGTGCTTGGACATTTGCAGGTCTTTCCTTCCACCTCAGTCAGTCCAGGATCCTTTTGTCTGCCCATCTCCATCCACCTTTCCTACCCTGCCCACCCCAGCCTTCCTGGCTCACCGCAGCCTCCACCTCCTGGGCTAAAGTGATCCTCCCACCTCAGCCTCCAAAGTAGCTGGGACTACAGGTGCACGGTGTACTGTGCTGCAGCCTGAGTGAGAGAGTGAGACACTGTCTCAAACAAAACAAAACAAAACAAAATGCAACCGTTCACAGATCTTTGTTCCATCACCCTGTAGCATGGGATCCCTTTGGCCACTCGGTCCATCCTCCCCCAGTGCACCACATCATCCAGATGCCCTCAGCTGAGGGAACTGCATTCACCATATTGGGGCCTGCTTTCAACTATCTTTTCCCCTTTCCACTCCTACCCACCCCTGGTCTGCATTGCCCCCATCTAGAGCCCTGGGGCTTTGCAGAAGGAAGTGAGTACAGGTGTCACCTGCTGGGAGAACAGCCCACTTTTTCACTTACAAATGACCTCGGGATCAAGATGGTTTTTATTTTTCATTGTTTTTTGAGACAGGGTCTTGCTCTGTCACTCAGACTGGAGTGCAGTGACACGATCACAGCTCGCTGCAGCCTCAACCGCCTGGGCTCAAGTGATCCTCCCATCTCAGCCTCCCAGGTAGCTGGGACTACAGCTGTGAACCACAGCGCCCATCTGATTTTTATATTTTTTGTAAAGGTGGGTTTTTGCCTTGTTGCCCAGGTTGGTGTGTTTTTGTTTTGTTTTGTCTGAGACAGAGTCTCATTCTGTCACTCAGGCTGGATCACAGTGGCGTAATCATGGCTCACTGCAATCTCCGCCTCCCAGGCTCAGGCAATCCTCCCACCTCAGCCTCCAGTATAGCTGGGACTACAGGCACATGCCACCAAGCTTGGTTAATTATTTTGTTGTTGTTACTGTTGCTGTTGTTGTTGTTTTGGTATGTTCTGTAGAGACAAGGTTTCACCATGTTGCCCAGGCTGGTCTTGAACTCCTGGGCTCAAGCAGTCCACCCGCCTTAGCCTCCCAAAATGCTGGGATTACAGGTGTGAGCTATTGCACCTGGCCAGGACCAAGATGTTTGAAGTGAAGGAGGAAATGCTGTTCAGTGGTAGAACCAAAGGGCTAGGAAGAGTCAACATCTTCCTACCCTTCCTACCCTATCCTGGTAGACATTCAAGGCCTGGCATTGCTTATTAAGGCACCTTAGGCCAAAGACTGGGAGGAAGGAGACTTGGGTTCCAGTCCAAGCTTAGCCCTGGACCCTGTTCTTGGGCAAATTCCTGTCTCAGTCTGAGCAGGCAGGTCTGCCATGTACAGTTGTAGAAGTTGTGCACTGCATAAAAGCACCATATCTGAGGAAGCTGTCTTCATAGTAGACAGTGTAGATTTGCATTTCTATTATAATAGTTTCCTGACTTATGGAAATAAGTGTCTTGAAGAAGGAAAGCCTTTTTCTAAGTTTCCCACAGGTTCACACGGGCTAGGGTGGCCCTGTGAGCCTTAGTTTCTCCAAACTAAACGTGATCTCTGAGAACCCCAAAACAACACAGCTGTTCCAAGATTCTGAGATTTAATCCCCTATGATGCTGACACACTAAGGGTCTGAAGTTCTAAGATTCTAGAATTCTAACATTTTGATATTCTTTATTTTATTTTATTTATTTATTTATTTATTTTTTTTTGAGGCGGAGTGTAGCTCTGTCGCCCAGGCTGGAGTGCAGTGGCCGGATCTCAGCTCACTGCAAGCTCCGCCTCCCGGGTTCACACCATTCTCCTGCCTCAGCCTCCCAAGTAGCTGGGACTACAGGCGCCCGCCACCTCGCCCGGCTAGTTTTTTGTATTTTTTAGTAGAGACGGGGTTTCACCGTGTGAACCAGGATGGTCTCGATCTCCTGACCTCGTGATCCGCCCGTCTCAGCCTCCCAAAGTGCTGGGATTACAGGCTTGAGCCACCGCGCCCGGCCCGATATTCTTTATTTTTTTGAGACTGAGTCTCATTCTGTCTCTTAGAACAATCTCGGCTCACTGCAACCTCTGCCTCCCAGGTTCAAGCGATTCTCGTGCCTCAGCGTCTTAAGTAACTGGGATTATAGGTGTGCACCACCTCACCTGGCTAATTTTTGTATTTTTAGTAGAGATTGGGTTTCACCATGTTGGCCAGGCTGGTCTTAAACTCCTGACCTCAGGTGATCCATCCACCACGACCTCCCATAGTACTAGGATTACAGGCGTGAGCCACCACGCCTGGCCAACATTTTGGTATTCTAATTCAAACCCCATCCAGTCTCTGACTTGATGGCTTTAAGATTTTTGTCTTCTCAGATTCTGTGTCCAGTGCTGGAACACAAGTTCTATGAATCTAGTCTTCTAGGATTCTGATGCCTGGCTTCTAAAGTCCCCATGTTATTTTTCTCCCAAACCGCCTTTTTTTTTTTTTAAGACAGAGTCTTGCTCTGTTGCCTAGGCTGGATTGCAATGGCTCAATCTCGGCTCACTGCAACCTCCACCTCCTGGGTTCAGGCAATTCTCCTGCCTCAGCCTCCTGAGTCGCTGGGATTACAGGCGTGTACCACCATGCCCAGTTAAGCCAAACTCTTTTTTTCTTAGACACAGGGTCTTGCTATGCTGCCCTGGCTGGACTCAAAGTCCTGGGCTCAAGTGATCCTCCTACCTCAGCCTCCCAAGTAGCTGGGACTACAGCCACCACATCCTACATTTTATTTTGAAAAACTTCACACCTACAGCAGGGCTACAAGAACAGTTTAATGAACTGCCATATCACCTTCATCCACAGTCACCAGTTGTTCACATTTTATCCTGTTGGCTTTTAATCTCTCTCTTTAATATTTAATAATATTAATAATTGTGGGACAGGCACAGTGGCTCATGCCTGTAATCCCAGTACTTTGGGAGGCCGAGGCAGGTGGATCACCTAAGGTCAGGAGTTTGAGACCAGCCTGCCCAACATGGCAAAACCCTGTCTCTACTAAAAATGCAAAAATTAGCCATGCTTGATGGCGCACGCCTGTAATCCCAGCTACTTGGGAGGCTGAGGCAGGAGAATTGCTCGAACCCGGGAGTCGGAGGTTGCAGTGAGGCAAGATCACACCACTGCACTCCAGCCTGGGAGACAGACCAAGACTCTCTCTCAAAACAATAAAAAATAAAAACTAGCTGGGCATGGTAACATGTGCCTGTAGTCCCTGCTACTCAGGAGGCGGAAGTAGGGGAATCACTTGAGCCCAGGAGGCAGAGGTTGCAGTGAGCCAAGATTGTGCCACTGCACTCCAGCCTGGATGACAGAGCCAGACTCTGTCTCAAAATAATAATAAAAGAATAACAACAATAATAATTGTGACACTCTGTGACCACGAATTGCAAATACCATGGCCTTCATGCCTACATACTTGAGCGTGCATCTTTTGAGAATAACGGCATTCTCCTACCTAATCACAATACTACGTTCTCACTCAAAAAATCTAACGCTGAATTGATACCGTTAACTCAGTGTCAATTAAGTGATGCACAGCCCGTGTTTCCATTTTCCCAGTCACCCCTGTAATATCTTTGGTAGCTGTATTTTCACTCCTGCCCTCTCTTCCCATTGGATCCAGAACCACACGTTGCATTTCCCTGTCAAATCTCTTTAGTCTCCTTCAGTCTGGATCAGTTTCTCAGCCTTCTCATGACTCTTGCGACCTGATGCTTTTGAAGATGATAGTCCAGTTACTAGAATGATGGTCAATCTGGGTTTGTCTAATGCTTCCTGGTGATTAGAGTCCCGCACTTTTGGCAGGAATCTCATGGAAGAGATGCTCTGTCCCCCTGGGTGCATTGTATCAGGAGGAACATGATGTCCACTCGTCCATTACTGTGATGCCCAGTTTAATTGTTTGGTAAAGATGGTGCTAAATCTTTGGATTAATTGTTTGGCAAAGATGATGCTACAGGATGTAGGCGGTGGATCATGCCTGCAATCACAACACTTTGGGAGCCCAAGGCCCGCGGATTGCTTGAGCCCAGGAGTTCAAGACCAGCCTGGGCAACATGGCAAAACCCCCTGTCTACCAAAAGTATAAAAAGTAGCCAGGTGTGGTGGCACGAGCCTGTAGTCCCAGCTGCTCAAGAGGCTGAAGCGGGAGGACCGCTTGAGCCCAGGAGGTCCAGGCTGCAGTGAGCTGGGATTGTGCAACTGCACTCTAGCCTGGATGACAGAACAAGATCCTGTCTCAAACAAAAACAAAAGGGCTGGGCGCGGTGTCTCACGCCTGTAATCCCAGCACTTTGGGAGGCCAAGGCAGGCAGATCACAAGGTCAGGAGTTTGAGACCAGCCTGGCCAACATGGTGAAACCCCATCTCTACTAAAGATCAAAAAAATTAGCTGGGCGAGGTGGCACGCACCTGTAATCCCAGCTACTTGGAAGGCTGAGGCAGGAGAATCGCCTAAACCCAGGAAGCGGAGGTTGCAGTCAGCCGAGATCGTGCCACTGCACTTCAGCCTGGGCGACAGGGCGAGACGCCATCTAAAAAAAAAAAAAAAAAAAAGGTGGTGCTACAATCTCCACATTTCCACATTCTACTGATCCCTTTATCCCTTACATGTAAATGTCTCATATCCCATGGCTTTAGGACTCTAAGATTCTAATATGAATATGTGGATATCACTAGCCATCATTGTTCTCGCTGTGCCTCTGGGTGCTTTCTCTGTATCAATTCAGTCCTCACGACAGTGCCAGGAGGTAAACACTATTATTAGCCCATTCCACAGATAAGGAAACTGAGGCTTAGAGGACTGCAGAATCCTGACTGCCCAAGATCACACAGCTGGCATGGCGGCCAAGCTGGGCTTGAAGCAGGTCAGCCCACCCTCCTGGGTGCTCCGTCACCATGGAGAGCGAATCCCTAGCTAAGGGACTCCCTCGTCCCTCCACTGCAGGTCTTTTCGCCACGTTCTACGTCCCCTACCTCTTCCCAGAACCTTGGGGTCCCTCTCTTCCTCCCACAGAGCTGGAGAACTGGAGCCCGACCCCCTCCCCACACCCACCTTTTTGAGACGGAGTCTCGCTCTGTCGCCCAGGCTGGAGTACAGTGACACGGTCTCAGCTCACTGCAACCTCCGCCTCCCCAGTTCAAACGATTCTCATGCCTCAGCTTCCAGAGTAGCTGGGACTACAGGCTTGCACCTCCACACCCGCTAATTTTTGTATTTTTAGTAGAAACAGGTTTTCACCATGTTGGCCAGGCTGGTCTCGAACTCCTGACCTCAAGTCATCCATTCACCTCAGCCTCCCAAAGTGTTGGTATTACAGGCATGAGCCACCGCGCCTGGCCCCGGAACTCCTTTAATATGAAAGTGATAGTGAATGCATATGGATCACATAGCAGGGTTCAGAGATGGTGCTGAGCCCCTTACATGCACAGTACAAGGGATCGGGGGAAAGGATAGATTTTCAAGATTCCTTAACATCCCAGAGTCATGCTGATGTCTGCAACCCTGCCAGGAAGAGCCCACCTACACCATGACCCCTCAGAATTTCACTCTGACTAATCTAACGTCACTGCCTTGTTCCCTCCCTAGCTCTCCCCATTACAGAGTATCTTATGGGTGCTTCAGAGATTTACACAACTGTTACTCTTTTAACACCAAGTCAGTTCACGTCCCTCCTCTGCTTGGAATGTCCCTCCTTTGCTTGAAGCTTCACAGGGCTCCTCCCTCACTCAGGGTAAATGCAGAAGTCTTCACTGTGGCCCACGCAGGCCCTAGGAGATCTGCCCCTGTTCCCACTGTGATGTCATCTCCCACCCTCTCGCCCTGGCTCCCTCTGCTGTCGTCATGCTGGTCTCCCTACAGTTCCTTGAACAGGTGGCCTGTGCCTAGGTCAGATCCTGTCCGGCTGTCCAGCTCCAGGTCAGGGCATTCGCATTGCCTGTTCTCTTTACCAAAAATACTTTTTGGCCAGGCGCGGTGGTTCACGTCTGTAATCCTACCACTTTGGGAGGCCAAAACAGGTGGATCTCTTGAGGTCAGGAGTTCGAGACCAGCCTGGCCAACATGATGAAACGCTGTCTATACAAAAAATACACAAAATTAGCCGGCATGGTGGCGGGCACCTGTAGTCCCAGCTACTCGGGAGGCTGAGGTGGGAGAATCCCTTGAACCCAGGAGGGGAGGTTGCAGTGAGCCGAGATGGAGACACTGCACTCCAGCCTGGATGACAGAGCAAGACTCTGTCTCAAAAAACAAAACAAAACAAAACAAAAAACTCTTTTCCAGGCATCCTCCCCATGGCTCACTCCCCTCCTTCAGGTCTCTGCTCAAATGTTACCTCCTCCAAAAAGCTTTCTTGACCATGCCAACAGCTCCCTCTCCTCACTCCCTACCCTCCTGACTGTTTCTCTTGATAGCACTCTGGCCACCTGAACATTCTATGTTTGTTTATTGTTCATTCTTCTGCACTAAAACAGAATCTGAAAACTTCTTACTGCTGCCATTCCCCCAACACTTAAAACAATGCCTGGCACACAACCGGTCAGTATCTGTTGAATGAATGAACCGTAATTAAATCATTAAATGTGCAATTGTCATGGTGATATGGCTCTCCCATGGGGCTGTGAACCCTGTGAGGACAGGGCCTGGTTACTGCTGTGCCCCCAGCACCACTCAGCACAAGGCACAGAATGGCTACCCTTAGGAGTGTTTGCTGAATGAATGAATGATACCAAGTTAAGGTGTATGGACTTTCTCTTGGGGACATCTGGGAAGGGCTTTTATCAGAGGTATGACAGAGTCCTTTCTGGGTCCTATATCCCTGCCACTCAAAATGTGACCAGGACATCCCCCTGGAGCTCATTAGAAATGCGATTCTAGAAACCCCGGGAGCTTCTGAACCAGAATCTGCATTTTCACAAGATCCACCAGGGGACTCATATGCACATTAAGGTTTGAGAAGCAGGGATGTAGAACACCCCAGGCTCCCTCTTAACTCTTGGGCTTTGCATGTGCTGTTCCTTCTGCCTAGAGTATGCCCACCCACTAATGCCTCCTCCAGGAAGCCTGCCCTGATCTCAGCCTTATCCTTACCTGTTCTGCTCCTCACGAATTCCACGCGGGGAGGGGCCCACTCTGTCTTGTTCCCGCTCTGCAGCCCTTCCTCTAGGACGCCCACCCTGATTCACCCTCAGTATTACGTCTTTAGTGCCTGTCGACCCTCATACTTGGGAGTTCTCCTATGGCACCTGCCCCTCCTCTGGGAAGCACGTCCAGACCCCTCCCCCCCGCCCCGTACAACACACAGCCGATGACCGACCCTCACCCCGCTCTTCCCGCTCCCCACCCCGCCGCAGCGAGGGCACGCTGGTGTTCAAACCAGGCGAGACGCAGAAGGAGCTGCGCATCGGCATCATCGACGACGACATCTTCGAGGAGGACGAGCATTTCTTCGTGCGGCTGCTGAACCTGCGCGTGGGCGATGCGCAGGGCATGTTCGAGCCGGACGGCGGCGGGCGGCCCAAGGGGCGGCTGGTGGCGCCGCTGCTGGCCACCGTCACCATCCTGGACGACGACCACGCAGGCATCTTCTCCTTCCAGGACCGCCTGCTGCACGTGAGCGAGTGCATGGGCACCGTGGACGTGCGCGTCGTGCGCAGCTCGGGCGCGCGCGGCACCGTGCGCCTACCCTACCGCACGGTGGACGGCACGGCGCGCGGCGGCGGCGTGCACTATGAGGACGCGTGCGGAGAGCTGGAGTTTGGCGACGACGAAACCATGTGAGCACTCCCGCGGCGGCCCAGAGAGGGGTGGGGCTTCGGAATGGGCGGGGCCTGATGGGGCTCAGGGGCGGGGCCTGGGTGAGCCGTGCCCACATCACGGTCTGGTCCTTGTGGAGGGGTGGGGCTTACGTGGCTGTACCCACAAAGTGGGCGGGGCTTCACTGAGCAGCTGGGCCCTCAGGAGGGGCGGGGCCTGAGTGAATCGTGCTCCAAAGTGGGCTGGGCCTCGGGAGGGGCGGGGCCCGGGTGAGCTGTGTACACAATGTGTGCGGGGCCTGATGGGGTTGTGACTGTGAAATGAAGAGGCGAGGCCCAGAGGGGGCGTCTGGACAGGTGAGAAGAGGGTCCCAAGGAGGAAGGGTGGACGAGATGAGGAGAGATGGGACAGGGGCCTGGAGAGAGCAGTGTGGGGCCTTAATTGGTAGCTGGTGGAGTGTGTCCTGAAGAAGAGGGCCCAGGGAGATGTGGGGAGAGGCCTGTGGAGGTGAGACGCTGTCTATGGCTGTGAAGAAGGAGCGGGTCTAGAGCGATGGGTAGGGTCTGGGTTTGGACATACGACACCAGGAAATGGGAAAATGGATGTGGACTGCGGAAGAAGGCGGGGCCTAACAAGATGGGTGGGGTCTGAGGAGGCATAGCTAGAGAAGGGGTGGAGCTTCTGGGTATGAGGAAGAACCTGGGGAAATAGCGGGACACCTAAGGGGAATGTGGGCGAGGCTTTGGGAAAAGATGGTGCTGGAATCTGGGGGCCTGCGAAGGCAGGGCAGGGCCTGGAGAGACACTGAGGAGCCTGAGGGCTGGGATTTGGGAAAATGGGGTTTGGGAGGTGGGCTGACTGGATACACTCAAGACACACACGTGTAGACAGACATTTACAGATCAAACACAAAGCCATTTATAGGCACCACACACACAAAGACACACACGGCAGGGCCAGGCGTGGTGGTCCACACCTGTAGTCCCAGCACTTTGGGAGGCCGAAGCAGGAGGATCATTTGAGGCCAGGAGTTCGAGAGCAACCTGGGCAACATAGCAAGACTCCTACTCTAAAAATAATTGTTTCAACTTAGTGGTAGCGCATGCCTGTAGTACCAGCACTTTAGGAAACTAAGGCGGGAGAATGGCTTGACCCTTGGAGTTGGAGACCAGCCTCTACTCTACTAAATTTTTTTTTTAATTAATTGGGCATGGTGGTGTGCATTTGTAGTGCCAGCTACTTGGGAAGCCAAAGCAGGAAGATGGCTTGAGCCCATGAGTGAGGTGCTGTAATGAGCTGTGATCACCCACTGCCCTCCAGCCTGGCCAATACAGTGAGACCCTGTCTCAGAAACAAAAAACAAAAAACAAAACACATGCAGACACACATAAAGTCACAGACACGTACACTAAATTATAGAGTCAGGGCTGTTCTCATGCCTAGATCCCTGGCCACCCCTTGCACAGGTGCCTGAGTGTCCCCCTATGTGTGCCTGCAGCCTCACATTCCCCCACCCGCCTGCCCAGGAAGCAGGCAGCGCCTGCCCCTCCTCTGCCCGCTCCCTTCCGCCCCCGCATGCCCGTCTGTCTCCCTCCTCTCTGCCGCCCACGCGCCTCCTACTCAAGCGGAGTCCCCACCGCGCTCCCCCTCCCTCCTCCTCCCAGCCTCTGCGCCTCCGCCTTGGGCAGCACTCAGTTTCTCACTGCGCTTGCTGTCTCTTCATCTCTCCCTCTGCATCTCTCATTCCCTGGGCTGACTCTCTCTGGGTCTCTGCGTCTCTGTTCATCTGCGGCTCTCTGTCCCCAGCACCTCGCTCTCTGACTCAGCTTATATTTCAGGCACACTCTCCACACCTTTCCTTCTCTCTCTCTGTCTGGCTTGGTCTCTGTCTCAGGGCTGTTGAGAACTTGGGTTGGGGGCTGCGAGAGGCACCATCCCAGACCCCTCTCTCACACCAAGAGATAAGGGGAATGGAGAGTTTTATTTCTTCTTCTTCCAGTCCTTCTTGTAGTCCAACCTGCTTCCCTCCTGCTGCTGCAACCCCACAGGCCCTCTCCTCCCCCACACGGCTTCCCCAGGCTGGGACACCCTCTGTCCCCCACCCCCACAAGCTCCCAGCTGTGGCGTCAGAAGACGGAGAACAGGAGGCTAATTAGTGTTCAGGGAAACTCTTCCTTCCTCTGATGGGCAGGCGCTAATTAGAGGCGCTTTGAAGCAGCTGGGCTAGAGGAGCAACTCAGAGATGGAGGAGAGACACACAGAGACAGGGTGGCAGAGAGACACAGAGACAGAGACCCAGAGATAGACACAGGGAGAGCTGAAGACAGAATAACAGAACTGGAGAGAGAAACAGAACAGAGAGACACAGAAAGACAGGAACTTAGAGGCCAGGTGTGGTGGCTCATGCCTGTAATCCCAGCACTTTGGGAGGCCAAGGCGGGCGGATCACCTGAGGTCAGGAGTTTGAGACCAGCCTGACCAATAGGATGAAACCCTGTCCCTACTAAAAATACAAAAATTAGCCAGGCTTGGTGGCATGCACCTGTAATTCCAGCTACTTGGGAGGCTGAAACAGGAGAATCGCTTGAACCCAGCAGGCAAAGGTTGCAGTGAGCTGAGATCGCACCATTGCACTCCAGCCTGGGCAAAGAGCGAAACTCCATCTCAAAAAAAAGGAAGAGACACAGAGAGAGATGCCTTGAGAGAGGGAGAGAGGTGGATATTGAGAGACTGAGATGGAGGGAGACTGAAAGGCAGAGAGACACGGAGGCGATAAAGACACTCATGGAGGAGAGAGACTCTGACCCAGGGAAGGAGAAGTTCTCACGATGCGGCAGAGAGAAAAGGGAGTTGGGGTCAGTGAGAGACAGGAGAGGAGGAGACTGGGTCAGAGATCAGAGGCCAGCAAGGGAGAAGGGCAGGAGAGTGGAGTTTTCAGGAAACAAGGGGGCAGGCTGGGGAGGAAATCTGCTTCCTTTGATCTCAGGAAGTCCTGCCTTGGTCTAACTCGAGACCCTCTTGCTGATTCCTGCACGTTGGGATTCTCCTGCGTCTGGGTCCTCTGAGGGCGCGTCTGCCAGGGCGCAGTTGGCGTGCCTGTCACTGTACATCAGTCACTGTGTGTCAGCGCATCGCAGCGTGTCTGCGAGAGTGAGCGACAGAGGTGTGTGTGTGTCACCCTGTCAGCGTGTCACTGTGTCGGCAGCTGTCTGTGTGGGTCACGGTGTATGAAGAGCATGTCTCAGGAGACCCTCCCTCCTCGCCGGCCCCAGCATTTCAGCACCGCGGACAGCTCACAGCCCTTGCCGAGGTCGGGGGCGGCCCTTTCTTTCCACCCACAGAAAATTGAAAATATCCTGGAACCAGGAGGGTGGAGGTGGGCGGATGTCCCCACATGGCCGTCTTGTGTGCGCCTGTCCTTGCGCGGGTGTCGCTGTGTCTTGTGCGTGTTTGTGTGTTGAGATGCGTCTTTTGAATGACTGCCTGATTGAAACTCTTCTGCTTGAAGTGCCTTGACTTTGGTTACTCTGTTCTTTAGACTCTGAGAGACAGAGACAGGGAGAGAAGAATCCAGATAAAGAAGGGCGGACCGGGTGCGGTGACTCACATCTGTAACCGCAGCACAGGGGAGGCCAAGGTGGGAGGATCACTTGAGGCCAGGAATTCAGGACCAGCCTGGGCAACATAGTGAGATCCTGTCTCTATAAAAAATTTAAAAGTATCCAGGTGTAGTGGGGCACGCTTATATTTCCAGCTACTTAGGAGGCTGAGGTGGGAGGATTGCTTGAGTCCTGGAGATCAAGGCTGCAGTGAGCCATGATTATGCCACTGCACTCCAGCCTGGGCAACAGAGCGAGACTTTGTCTCAAAAAAAAAGGAGGGCAGAAAGATGAGAAGAGACTGAGACAGAGAATGGAGAGAGTCAGAGTCGGAGAGAGAAACTGCTGGAGAATCAAAGACAGACAGAGTCAGAGATGGAGAGATAGACCCAGAGAAGCTGAGACAGGCAGAGAGAGAAAAGAAGATGGAAAATGTAGGGACAGAGATGCAGAGGGCCACTGAAGGAAGTAAACAGACACCAAGAGGCGTCAGGAGTGAGATGTAAGGTACGAGTGTCTAGGTGGTACCACAGTGAGGGGCTGCAGGGTGGCGATGTCGCCAGGGCTGTGGTGGGGGAGTCGTGCTAACTGACGGGCATCTGGTCCATGCAGTCTTGCCACTGCAGTGGGAACGGCTGTAGGGTGTGATGGCGTGTGGGTGTGGGCGGTGTGATCGGCTGTGCTTCCTCGATTGGGTGACTGTGTGGGCTGGGTGTTTGTGTTTCTGGGTTCTGGGGCCAGGCCTTGTGGGACTACATGGTTCCTACAGCTGAAAGAGTTGCCAGTGGCAGAGTTGTGGGCACTCTGAGTTTGTGGATCTTTGGGGTCAAGGGGTGTGGGTTGTGTGCCTGAAGGTGACAGGTAACTTTTGGCTGTTTCCTGCCACCCCCTGGTTACCATAGGAGCAGAGATGCTGAGAAAATCAGTTAGCATCAGTACTTGGTTAACTCTCCAAATCTGGTTGGGATGGAAAACAGGAAGCTGAGGATTTTCTGTGCTGAAGGATTGGAGTGAGCGAAATATGTATGGAGGGTGTGCTCCATGCCAGAGACTGTTCTGGGTGTTGGAGATAGAACAAAAAGCATAAATGAACTTACCTGGGGGAACTTAAATTTAAAAATGGGGAAGCAAATGGTAAATAATGAACAATAAACTAAATAAATATTAGTGGGTGTTAGAAGGTGATATTTAAAGAAGACAGGCCAGGTACCGTGGCTCACATCTGTAATCCCAGCACTTTGGGAGGCCAAGATGGGAGGATCACTTGAGGCCAGGAGTTCAAGAACAGCCTGGGCAATGTGGTGAGACCCCATCTCCACACACACACAAAAAATTAACTGAGCATGGTGGTGCATGCCTGTAGTCCCAGCTACATGAGAGGCTGAGGCAGGAGGATCGCTTGAGCCCAGGAGTTTGAGGCTGCATTGAGCTATGATTGCAGCACTGCACTCCAACCTGGGTGACACAGCAAGACCTTGTCTCCAAAAATAATAATAAATACACTAAAAAGAAAGACAACAGAGCAGTGTAAGGGAGTGCTGGGGTGGGAGCAGTGAGGGATTTCACTATTAAATAAGATGGAAGGAGTGGGCCTCATTGAGAAGGTGAAGTTTGAATGAAAAACTGGAAGAACTGAGGAAGTGAGCCTGAGGGAAGAGTGTTCTAGGCAGAGGGAACAGCCAGCGCAAAAGCCCTGATGCATAAGCAGGCCTGGCTTGTTCAAGGAATAGCAAAGAGGCCAGAAAGAGAATGAGTACTAGATTGCAGGGGATCTTGTGGGCCATTCTAAGGACCTTGCCTTTCATTCTTTGAGAGATAGGAGCCATGCAAATGTTTTGCACAAGGGAGGGACCCAGTCTGACCTTGGTTCTATCAGGATCACTCTGGCTGCTCTTGGAAGAACAGACTGGGACGGTGGGGGTGAAGCTGAAGCATAGGATTATTTAGGAGGCAACTAGTAATCTAGGTAGGAGACAATAGTGGCTGGGCTGGAGTGCAGGGGTTAACAGTCTGGATTCTGACAGTTGTGTGTTCAAAACCTGTCTCAACCATGAGCTCATACTGCTTTACTTTTTTAATTATTATTATTATTTTTTGAGACGGAGTCTCGCTCTGTTGCCAGGCTGGAGTACAGTGGCACGATCTCAGCTCATTGCAACCTCCACCTCCCAGGTTCAAGCGATTCTCCTGCTTCAGACTCCTGAGTAGCTGGGACTACAGGCGCTTGCCACCACATCCAGCTAATTTTTGTATTTTTAGTAGAGACAGGGTTTCACCATGTTGGCCAGGATGGTCTCAATCTCTTGACCTCATGATCCGCCCGCCTTGGCCTTCCAAAGTGCTGGGATTACAGGCGTGAGCCACCGTGCCCGGCCTATTTTTTAAAATAAATTATTCAATATAAATAGAGATGGGATCTCAATATATTGCCCAGGCTGGTCTCGAACTCCTGGCCTCAAGCAACTCTCCCTCCTCAGCCTCCCAAAGTTCTGGGGTGACAGGCATGAGCCACCACGCCCGGAATGCTTTACTTTAATCAGACTCAGCTTCCTTACCAGTGCCTGGTTTTGCTTCTGTCAAATGGGGATGATAATAGAGCCTTCCTCCCTGCGTGGTGGTGAGGATTAAATGAGAGTCTGGGGTCTGGGACAGAGGAGGTGCTGGGAAAACTGGTTGGCTGCCAGGAGGGCTGCCTGGTGATTCTGGGGAGGGGGCCTCATGCTGGGTGTTCTGCCTCCCCCTTGCCCCACTCACAGGAAGACTCTTCAGGTGAAGATAGTTGATGACGAGGAATATGAGAAAAAGGATAATTTCTTCATTGAGCTGGGCCAGCCCCAGTGGCTTAAACGAGGGATTTCAGGTGAGAGGTGACCAGTGGGCTGTGGGAGAAGTAAGGGGTCCAGGGTTGGGGGACTTTCAGGGGCTCAATTGCAGGCACTCCTTAAAGCTCGTGGACCTGAGCTTCGTGAGGAACTGATCTCACTGTCTGCCTGTCTCTGTTTCTCCCCAGCTCTGCTACTCAATCAAGGTGAGTGAAGTCACCTCTGGGCTCTGAGTGGGGAGGAGCCACTGGAAGAGGGCCTGGGGGAGGGTCCCAGCCCCAAAGTTACCCTTCCAGGTTGGGTTTGAGGCAGATTGGAGGTGAGATAAAGGCAGATTCAGGGCTGGGGGACGACAGGGGCTGGCCTGAGAGTTGGTGGTGCCTGTGTGAGTTTGAGATTACAGCGAGCATTTTGGAGGTCAAGATTATGTCTGTAACATGGTGAAACCCCTGTCTCTTGTAAAGATACAAAAATTACCTGGGTGAGGCCGGGTGCGGTGGCTCATGCCTGTAATCCCAGCACTTTGGGAGACTGAGGAGGGTGGATCACCCAAGGTCAGGAGTTAGCAAGCAGCCTGACTAACATGGTGAAACCCCATGTCTACTAAAAATATAAAATTAGCCGGGCCTAATGACGCACTCTTGTAATCCCAGCTACTCAGGAGGCTGAGGCAGGAGAATCGGTTGAACCTGGGAGGTGGAGGTTGCGGTGAGCCGAGATCGTGCCATTGCACTCCAGGCTGGGGAACAAAAGTGAAACTCTGCCTTAAAAAAAAAAAAAAAAAACTAGCTGAATGTGATGACAGGCGTCTGGAATCCCAGCTAGTTGGGAGGATGAGGCACAAGAATCGCTTGAACCCGGGAGGCAGAGGTTGCAGTGAGCCAAGATTGCACCACTGCACTCCAGCCTGGGCAACAAAGCAAGACTCCATCTCAAAAGAAAAAAAAAAAAAAGACTATGTCTATAGTCAGGGTTGTAAGTCATCCAATCGGATCTGGGTTTGTGAGAGTGGGGTCAGAGAGGATCCAGTTTGGGGTTGATTGTGGTGGGGTGGCATTTGGACTGGAGATCGGTGTTAAGACCATATTAAGGTGAGAGTCACAATGGAGGTTGCTTCCTGGGTTTCTGGTGGGATAAGATTAGAATTGGAGTCAGGTCTAGGTCAAAGCTAAAGTTGGACTTTAAGGTGAGTAATAGAATTTGAGGAATTTAGGTTAGAATTGGGGCCAAGGTCAGAGATTGGACTAAGAGTTGGGGCTAGGGTCAGTGGCTTTTAGATGGAAAAGTCGTTTTGGAGTCAAGATTAGAATTGGGATCTGAGGTTAAGATCAGGGTTAGACTAAAGATTGTATTTGTTGGAGGAAGCAATATAAGCTGCTATAACAAACTGACCCACAAATCCCTGTGGCTTCACACAATAAAAGTTATTTCTTGACTGGGCACAGTGCCTCATGCCTGTAATCCCAGCACTTTGAGAGGCCCAGGTGGGCGGATCACTTGAGGTCAGGAGTTCATGACCAGCCTAACCAACATGGCGAAACCCCGTCTCTACTAAAAATACAAAAATTAGCCGGGCGTGGTGGTGCATGCACCTGTAATCCCAGTTACTCAGGAGTGTGAGGCAGGAGTATCACTTGATCCTGGAAAGTGGAGGTTGCAGTGAGCCAAGATCGTGATCGTGCCCACTGCACTCCAGCCTGGGTGACAGAGCGAGACTCCATCTCAGAAAAGTAAGAAAGAGAGAGAGAGAGAGAGGAAGAGAGAGAGGAAGCGAGGAAGGGAGGAAGGGAGGGAGGGAGGGAGGAAGGAAGGAAGGAAGGAAAGAAAAGAAAGAAAAAAGTTATTTCTTGTTCAGGCAAAGTTGTTTTTTGTTTGTTTGTTTTTGTTTTTGTTTTGGGATGGAGTTTCACTCTTGTTGCCCAAGGTAGAGTGCAATGGCGCGATCTTGGCTCATGGCAACCTCTGCCCCCCGGGTTCAAGCGATTCTCCTGCCTCAGCCTCCCGAGTAGCTGGGATTACAGGCGCCCATCACCACACCTGGCTAATTTTTTTGTATTTTTAGTAGAGACGGGGTTTCACCATGTTGGCCAGGTTGGTCTCGAACTCCTGACCTCAGGTGATCCACCTGCCTTGGCCTCCCAAAGTGCTGAGATTACAGGCATAAGCCACTGCACCCGGCATCTCAGGCAAAGTTTTACGAGTGTTCCTAGTTGGTAGGTGGCTTTCTTCTGCCATGTGGCCATTTCATCTTGTGACTCCACTGTGCCAGGAAGCTTTGGCATTTTACCTGAATTTGCTGCTGGGGAACAGGGCAAGAGAGTTTGGAGACTCACATGGGAGGTTTTCAGGGCTAAGCCTAGAGGGACTGATCATCACTTCTGCCCACATTCTAGTGTCCGTAACTCAAGCCATGGCCACGCCCAGCTGCAAGGGAGGCTGGGAAATGTAGTTCAGCTCTTTGCCCAGGAAGGAGAGGAAACAGGTTCAAGTGAACACACTTCAGCCTCTGCCACGTGGTCAAGCTCCTCATGAGTGATGGTGTCAGAGTTGGGAGTTGGGACTGAGGTTTGGGGTCAGGTGTAGGACTGGAGTTAGATCTGGAGATGGAGTTTGGGATTTGGCTTGGGGTTATTGATGCTCCAGGTTATGGTGAATGTTAGAGTCGGGATTAGGGTTTAGGGCTAGGGTTGTGCTGAGGTCAGACCGAGGGCTGAGGGTTGGGGTTTGGAGTCAGTGTTGATGACAGGCTTCCATTTGGGGCCACAGTGAGAGTCAAGCTCAAAGTTAGGGACCAGAATTAGGGTTGGGCTGCTGCTGGGCTTGGAGTCAGGGGTCAGCATACTTTGGGGAGAGAAGTGACCTCAGGACCAGGATGTAGGTGGGTCTGGTTCCAAGATTTGTGCCAAAATCAGGTGTCCTCCCCCTTCCTCACCACCTCAGCCACACTCTAGGATGTTTCCAGAAACTGAATGTAGAGACCCGGCCTCCCCTATCAGGGTGGCGGCAATGATGATAATGTTGGTGATAATAATAAAGATAACAGCATGTATTGAATATTGATTGCGTGCTAGGCACTGTTCTAAGCACTTCACACGAATTAACTCATTTAAGTCTCACAACCATCCCATGAGGTAGGTATTAATTATTGTGCCCATTTTACAGATATGAAAACTAAGGCACAGAGAGGCTCAGGCATTGCCTAAGGTCTCACAGCCTCCACCCATACGAACCCCAGAGCCCACCAACTAAAGGTCATGGACCAGCCCGTGGGAGCTGGGCCTCGGGGCTGAAAGAGACGGTGGTCAGGTGGGAGGCTGGGAGGAGTCGCCAAGGAGCTTCCCAGAGGAAGAACAGATAGGCTCTAACTATGGGGACAGGTAGTAAAGGCATCACAGGCCCAGTTAGGTAGGTCTCCCGGGAGTCTAACCCCCATCCCTCATGCTGCAGGGGATGGGGACAGGAAGCTAACAGCCGAGGAGGAGGAGGCTCGGAGGATAGCGGAAATGGGCAAGCCAGTTCTTGGGGAAAACTGCCGGCTGGAGGTCATCATCGAGGAGTCGTATGATTTTAAGGTGATTTTCTGGGGCCTAACCTTCCTGGAGTCTGGCCTGGGTCATTTCCTTGGGGATGGTCTGGAAAGTGGGGAGCCACAAGGTTCCCAAGGGCAGGCCAAACGAGGGTCCCGCGTCAGGACCACGGACAGCACATGCCTCCCTTTTCCTCGCTTACCTTCAGAACTCGGGTGTGGAAAGTTGAGGACCCCTGGGCACAGGCTGTGAGCAACCGACCCAGGACCCCATATGGAGATTCCCTGATTGGCTCAGGGGCAGTGACCTCTCCCCCACCCTCTCATCCCCAGAACACCGTGGATAAACTCATCAAGAAAACAAACTTGGCCTTGGTAATCGGGACCCATTCATGGAGGGAGCAGTTTTTAGAAGCAATTACGGTGAGCGCAGGTAAGTGGGGAGGGAGGAGAGAGAAGAGAGAAGGATGGAGAGACAGAGACACAGGGAAAGGGGGGAGAAATGAATGGAGAGACGGGCACAAAGATAAAGAAACAGTCTGGGCACGGCGGCTCACGCCTGGAATCCCAGCGCTTTGGGAGGCTGAGAAAGGAGGATTACTTGAGGCCAGGAGTTTGAGGCTGCAATGAGCCGTGATCGTGCCCCTGCACTCCAGCCTGGCCAACAGAGCAAGACCCTGTCTCTAAAAGAAAAATACAAACAGGAGAGACACACACACAGAAATACACAGGGAGAATCAGAGACATGGAGAAGACATGAGACAGAATGAATGGTGAAACTGAAATGGGCTGGGGAGATGGAGAGGCAGGTAGACGGGGACACAGAAAGGGCAGAGATAGGAGAGGTGGCAGCTGGAGCTGCCGGGAGGAAGCTGGGAGGGTTTATGTTTGGCTGTTGGCTGAACCGGGAGGGTTCCCAGCCTGGGCTTTCTCACAGCGTCAGGCATCAGGAAGGTGGGAACAGGTTAAGTCGCGTGGTCACCCCAGAGAGAGCCGGGGTTCCTCCGTTGCCCTGGAGACAGTGGCCAGGGCACCCAGCTCTCTCCCACCTGCGCTGGTCAGCACCCTCCTTGGCCTCAGACAGGCCCACACTGCCCCCTTGTGGCTAGAGACACTATGACACTTGGAGCCACAGACGGTCTTGGAAGCCAACACTGGCTCTTTGTGATACGGATTGGGGAGACTGAGGCTCAGAGACAGAGGAGAGAGTGGCCTGAAGTCCCACAGGGAGTGCAGAAAAGGCCCGAGGTCGGAGCTCAGGGCTTCAATCTCTTACATAACATCAGGGTTAAGGCCCCAGCTCTTGGGGACTGAAGGCATACATGGAATTGTGGTTGCAAAGAAACTGGGCAAGTGGGATCAAAAGAAACCAGGCTTAGGGGCTGGAAAAATACCAGGCAGCAGGCCTAGAAACACTAGACTGTTTGCCCAGTAGAAACAAAGTGGCATCTCCCTCTGAAGCCACATTCTTCTGACATACTTCTAAGGGATCTTCTGGGCCCGACCCTGTGTGAGACATTGCCAGGGACACAGAAGTGACTGAGACATTCCTGGCCCTGTCCCCGTGGAGCTTACAGTCCAGTGAGGGAGATAGACATGTCACAAGAGAGAGACAACCCAGAGTAGGCAGGGCTGGGATGGGAGACCCGGAGGAAAGCCGTGATGCGGTTCCTGATCCAGCCTGAAAGTCGGGGAGGGCTTCCTGGAGGGGGTGGCTTCTGAGCTGAGTCTTCAAATGGGAAAAGATGTCAGCCAGGGGGAGGGAGAAGACAGGGAGAGTGTTTCAGGCAGAGGGACAGCCAAGCACAGAAGCCCTGGAGTGTGCGAGATGGCACATTTTTTGGGTGGGTGCCTGGCGTTGGGCAGGAAGAAGAGGTACCAGGATGAGGCTGGAAATCGGCAGATTTCCACACTGTTCTTTCTGAGCCACAGCAGGGAGCTTGGGTGGCATTTTGAACACACTGGGGAGCCATGGAGGGTTTTGAATGGGGGAAGCCCCTGGAGCTAGAGAGAGCTTGTGGGAGGAAAGTGGAGAGGCTGGATAGCGTGTGGGCAGAGGCTGTAGAAACTAGCAGGAGAGGGCGGGCGCGGTGGCTCACACCTGTAATCCCAGCACTTTGGGAGGCTGAGGCGGGCAGATTACCTGAGGTCGGGAGTTCCAGACCAGCCTGACCAACATGAAGAAACGCCGTCTCTACTAAAAATACAAAATTAGCCGCACATGGTGGCCTGCGCCTGTAATCCCAGCTACTCAGGAGACTGAAGCAGGAGAATCGCTTGAACCTGGGAGGCGGAGGTTGCGGTGAGCTGAGATTGTGCCACTGCACTCCAGCCTGGGCAACAAGAGCGAAACTCTGTCGCCGAAAAAAAAAAAAAAAAAAAAAAAAACCTGGGCCGTGCAGGGGCTCCTTTGAGGTTCATTCCACGAACAATGGGGAGATGGCAAAGGGCTCTTTGAGCTTCGGAACATTTCCTCTGGGGACTTAGTGGAGATAGAGGATGAGGCGGAACTGAAACGACGTGTGAGGTGGTGGTCGCGGAGACCCAGCATACATTGGGCCCTGGGTTTATAGAAACCAGGTGGTTAGATCAGGTGATTAGACCGGGGTGGAGGAAGAATAATAACATAACAATAATAGTAATAATAATCCTGATGATGACAATGGTGACCCTATCATGTCTCTCTCTCTTTTTTTTTTTTTTTGTTGTCGTTGTTGTTGAGATACGTAGTCTCAGTCTGTCGTCCAGGCTGGAGTGCAGTGGTGCAATCTCAGCTCACTGCAACCTCCGCCTCCTAGGTTCAAGCGATTCTTCTGCCTCAGCCTCCTGAGTAGCTGGGATTACAGACACCCACCACCATGTCTGGCTAAATTTTGTATTTTCAGTAGAGATGGGGTCTCACCATGTTGGCCAGGCTGGTCTTGAACTCCTGACCATGGGCACTGCACGGGCACTGCACGTCCAAACCTGGTCAAATTAGGTCACAATAGGTGATACAGCTCTAAGCATGAGGCATCCTTTACAAAGCTCAGAAAACACATCCGTAACCCAATGCCCATATCAGGAAAGCCAGGGCTTTCCTGGCTCAAGTGATCTGCCCACCTCGGCCTTCCAAAGTGTTGGGATTACAGGTGTGAACCACTGTGCCCGGCTGACCCTATCATGTCTTGAGTGCCAGACATGGTTGAAAATTTATTTCCTGTGTGAACTCATTTTAATTAACGTATCCGCAGTGTCTGGATCAGAGCTTGGTCACTTTGCGCTTTGTCCAGCTTGTGCCTTTTGGTTCTTTGCTGTGCGAGGACAGAGCTGCTGGAGGGGTGAGGGAGAAGGGCAGTCCTCGCTCCCTTAGGGGATGAGTCGGGTCGCATCTTGCACGCAGAGGTGCTTTTGTACTTCCTTTACCTCCCTTCCTACTGTAAGCTCCTTGCAGGCTGGACTTGGCATGGAGCATCTTTGAATTTCCCCCAGGCACCAAAAAAAGGCCTTCAGTAATAACAATCGAAACAATAGTAATAACTCTGGAGGTGTCCGAGGCACCGTTGACAGCACTCATTCGGTCATCACAAGCTTCCCATGAAGCAGGTCCAATCATTGATCGCAGATAGGCACCCAGAAGCCCAGAGGGGTGAGGACACTGATTCAGGATCACACAGTGGATCCAGGGTTGGACACCAGAGAGGTGATTTCAGAGTGACAGTCATAATCACGAGCCTCCCTGTAGAGGGGAGCAGCTGGGGAAGTCAGCTGAAGCCAGAGTCCACAGAATGCCAAGCCTAGGCGTTTGGGCCTGGATTTGAAGGTAGTACAGACCCAAGGAAGGATTTGGAGCAGGGCGGGCAGCAGCCCCAACTTCTGCAATAATAGCAGCCCCCTCACTCCCAAAGAGCGTGGCCTCCCTGCTCTGACCTCAGCTGTGTCTTACATCAGTTAGGGATGCGCTCAGCAGTGACTGGTCAGGAGCTACGTTCGTTCTCAGCATCCTTCCAGATGTCATGCGTGCCACACACAAGTGTGGTCATTGATTCTCATTCATTGCTTTATACTAATCAGCTTAGGGTGAGGTAAACAAAACACTGCATTGAGGTAAACAAGCCACTGCAGGTCGGCTGGGCATGGTGGCTCACACCTGTAATCCCAACACTTTGAGAGGTCTAGGAGGGCAGATCACTTGAGGCCAGGAGTTCAAGACCAGCCTGGCCAACATAGCGAAATCCCGTCTCTAGTAAAAATACAAAAAAATCAGCCAGGTGGGGTGGTGCACACCTGCGATTCTAGCTACTCAGTAGACTGAGGCATGAGAATCACTTGAACCCAGGAGGTGGAGGTTACAGTAAGCTGAGATCATACTACTGCTTGGGTAACGGAGGGAGATTCTGTCTCAAAAAAAAAAAGAAAAAAGAAAAAAAAAGGCACTGCAGGTCCAAACCTGGTCAAATTAGGTCACAGTAGGTGATACAGCTCTAAGCATGAGGCATCCTTTACAAAGCTCAGAAAACACGTCCGTAACCCAATGCCCATATCAGGAAAGCCAGGGCTTTCCAGAAACTCTCTGTTTCTATCTCATTGCCAGACTAGGTCAGATGGTCACTCACGGGAGGAATTCTGGCAAAACAAGTATTTAGCCAGGGATATAGCAACTGCCAACTGCAAGGGATTCTGGGAAAGTGAATACCATATTTTTTTCTGAGGCCATGGCTGCTGCTAGCCTCAAGGGATTCTAGGAAAGTGATTAATTTTGGCTGCGTATATAGCCCTCTAGCTGCAAGGAATTCTGGGAAAGTAAGTACATTTAGTGGAGACTGTGGCTCTGGTTAGCTGCAGTGAATCTGAGGAAGTGAATACTTCTAGCTGTGGCCTGGCTTTTGGTAACTGTGAAGGCTTCTGGGAAAAGGAATAATTTTAGCTAGGGGTATGGCTGTCCCTGGCAGCAAAGGGTCCTGGGAAACTGGATATTTTTAGCTAGGCAGATGTGGCCTCCTTTAGCTTCAAGGGATTGTGGGAAAGTAACCGTTTTTATCTGTTGACTTGGCCATATTTAGCTGCAAGTTGTTCCGGGGAAGTAAATATTTTTCACCTGGGCCCATTCATGCTCCTAGCTTCAAGGGATTCTGGGAAAGTAATGGGTTTTAGCTGCTGACTTGGCCACATTTAGGTGCAAGGGATTTTGGAAAAGTAATGGGTTTTAGCTGCTGACTTGGCCGCATTTAGGTGCAAGGGATTCTGGGAAAGTAAATATTTGTCACCTGGGCCCATTCACACTCCTAGCTTCAAGGGATTATGAGAAAGTATTTTTAGCTGCTGACATGGTGACACTTAGGTGCAAGGGATTCTGGGAAAGTAAATATTTTTCACGTGGGCCCATTCACACTCCTAGCTTCAAAGGATGCAGGGAAAGTAACTGTTTTTAGCTGCTAACATGGCCACACTTAGGTGCAAGGGATTCTGGGAAAGTAAATGTTTTTTTACCTGGACTCAGTCATGCTCCTAGCTCCAAGGTATTCTGGGGAAGTAACTGTTTTTAGCTTAGCCATATTTAGATCCAAGGGATTCTGGGAAAGTAAATATTTTTCACCTGGGCCCATTCGTGCTCCTAGCTTCAAGGGATTCTGGGAAACTAACTGTTTTTAGCAGTTGACTTGGCTACATTTAGGTGCAAGGGATTCTGGGAAAGCAGTTCATTCAGTGGGACTTGCTGTCAGGAAGTTAGACAAAACAGGGCCTCTGTAGGCAAGGAAAGAAGTCTGAGTGTGTGCCCCAGCTGGGTCATGTGCCCACAGGGGACGAGGAGGAGGAGGAGGACGGGTCCCGGGAGGAGCGGCTGCCGTCGTGCTTTGACTACGTGATGCACTTCCTGACGGTGTTCTGGAAGGTGCTTTTTGCCTGCGTGCCCCCCACCGAGTACTGCCACGGCTGGGCCTGCTTTGGCGTCTCCATCCTGGTCATCGGCCTGCTCACCGCCCTCATTGGGGATCTCGCCTCCCACTTCGGCTGCACTGTTGGCCTCAAGGACTCTGTCAATGCTGTTGTCTTCGTGGCCCTGGGCACCTCCATCCCTGGTAACACCTTGGGAGACTGTGGTGGGGTAGGCTTGGTGGGGTAGGATCTCAGATGAGCCAGGCAGGGGCAACACAGGATCCTGCTGAAATGAGGTGGGTGGAGTCACACAGCGCCCATGTGGTAGGTCTCAGAGAAATATGGAGGTGGGGCATAATAGAAGCTAGGCAGTGGGTCCCCTAGTTGCAAGATGTGAATTGAATCTTCCCCAAAAGCACCCAGGTGGAAGGTCCCATAACACTGAGGTGGCAGGAAATGCTAGAAACCAGATAATGGATTTCGTAGAGAGAAGGTGGCAGGGTGGGGAAGAGACAGCTGTGGGGAGAGGGGTTCCCAGGAAGATAGTGCGAATGTGAGAGAAGCTAATCAATCAGTAGGTTCCATAGAAACAAGCTATTGATGCTCCATCCCCCAAGAAACCAGACAGAAGAGTCCATGGAACTATGTTGGGGGACATGACAGGAACGAGGCCAGTGAACCTCAAAGTTGGGTTTTTTGGGTTTTTTTTGGTGGAGTGCAGTAATCTCATGATCTCGGCTCACTGCAACCTGTGCCTCCTGGGTTCAAGCGATTCTTCTGCCTCAGCCTCCTGAGTAGCTGAGACTACGGCACCTGCCACCACACCCAGCTAATTTTTACATTTTTAGTAGAGATAGGGATTCACCATATTGGACGGGGATTCACCGTTATTGGCCAGGCTGGTCTCGAACTCCTGACCTTGTGATCTGCCCGCCTCTGCCTCCCAAAGTGCTAGGATTATAGGTGTGAGCCACCATGCCCAGCCAAACCTTAAAGTTTTAACTAAGATGAGGGGGCAGGTGGGGCGCGATGCCTCATGCCTATAATCCCAGCACTTTGGGAGGCCGAGGCAGGAGGATCGCTTGGGCCCAGGAGTTTGAGACCAGCCTGGGCAACATGGTGAAACCCCGTCTCTACAAAAAATAAAAAAATTAGCTGGGCGTGGTGGCACATGCCTGTGATCCCAGCTGCTAGGGAGGCTAAGGTGGAAGGATCACCTGAGCTGGGGAAGATGAAGCTGCAGTGAGCCATGATTGCACCTCTCCTCTCCAGCCTGGGCAACAGAGCAAGACCCTGTCTCAAAACAAAACAAAAAATGCAGCCGCGTGCAGTAGCTCACGCCTGTAATCCCAGCACTTTGGGAGACTGAGGCGAGTGGATCACCTGAGGTCAGGAGTTCGAGACCAGCCTGGCCAACATGGTGAAACCCTGTCTGTACTAAAAACACAAAACTTAGCAGGGCGTGGCGGGCGACTGTAGTCCTAGCTACTCAGAGGCTGCCGCAAGAGAATCGCTTGAACTCGGGAGGCGGAAGTTGCAGTGAGCTGAGATCACGCCACTGCACTCCAGCCTGGCTGACAGATCAAAACTCCGTCTCAGAGAAAAAAGAAAGAAAAAAAATCAGGCAGTGAGTCCCATAGAAGAGAATGAGTCCCCCAGAAAGCAGGCGGCGGGTCCCATAGAAAGCTGGCAGCGGTTCCGGTGGCGAGCAGGCCGAGGGGTGGTGATGGACTTTGCCTCTTGGGTGGGGGTCAGGGGCATTGAACCCACACTGCCCGCAGAAAGCAGGCGACGGGGGCAGGCGGATGCCCGCCCCTGTGGGTGACGCGTAGAGCCCCTCCGACCCGCGTGTCTCTGCCCCGCAGACACGTTCGCCAGCAAGGTGGCGGCGCTGCAGGACCAGTGCGCCGACGCGTCCATCGGCAACGTGACCGGCTCCAACGCGGTGAACGTGTTCCTGGGCCTGGGTGTCGCCTGGTCGGTGGCCGCCGTGTACTGGGCCGTGCAGGGCCGCCCCTTCGAGGTGCGCACTGGCACGCTGGCCTTCTCCGTCACGCTCTTCACCGTCTTCGCCTTCGTGGGCATTGCCGTGCTGCTGTACCGGCGCCGGCCGCACATCGGCGGCGAGCTGGGCGGCCCGCGCGGACCCAAGCTTGCCACCACCGCGCTCTTCCTGGGCCTCTGGCTCCTGTACATCCTCTTCGCCAGCCTGGAGGCGTACTGCCACATCCGGGGCTTCTAGGGCCTTGCGCAGAGACTCGTCCCCACCGCCCGCCCGGGGCTAGGGACTCAGTTGCACCTGCTCTTGGACCCTGGTCTCCTTTTCCCTCCAGACTCGGCCTCCTCTCCTGGGACTCGGCCTCCCTTCTCCGCCCCCACCCCGGGCTTTGATTGCCCCTGTCCTCTGTCCCCAGTAGATCAGCCTTCCCTCTCCCTCTCGGGAGCCTCCCCAGTTCCTCCCCTGCGGTGACCCCAACTCCAGCCCATCCTGTTGGTGACCGTCCATACCCCTGGGGAAATTTCCACCCCAGTCCCCTCCCAAGGGAACCACCCCCAGTAACCATCCTGGGGATTTTAAGGTCTCTCTTCCAGGTCACCCAGCCTGGCTCTTCCCCCAAAGTCTCACTTCCCCTAGTGACCCCCCCACCCCATTTCACCCCATGCCTCAGAGCCTCAGAACCTACCCTCCCTGGGGGACCCTCGAAGGAGGCTGTCAGAGGCCGTCTCAGATCCCAGCCCTTCCCCCCAGCCCTCAGGGAGCTCCGCTCAGCCCCGGCGGGGAGGAGCGGGTGGGTGTGCGCGAGGAGGCCGCACACCTTTCCAATCCCTCCACTCGGGGTCTTGGGAGGACACTCATTCTCCAGGCTCGGAGACGGGAGGGGAGAAGTTTGGGGTTTCAGTCCCAGGGCTTAGCTGGAGAAGGCACATTTTGAACCTGCAACTTCAGACATTCCAGCGCCCCCACTCGCCCTCCACTACCTCTGAGAGCCTAGCCACGCCTTGGAGGGAGGGGCCTGTGTGTGTATATAGTGTGTTTGGGGGAGGGGGGACACGGGAGGGTGCATGTCTTGGGAAAAGGGGGTGACAGACTTAACTTTTGAGAGGGCAGCAGACTCCCTCAGCCATGAGAACCAGCTTTGGGGAGGAGGTCGGGAATCAATGCGAGTCCAGCTGATCTCCCCTGACAATCTGGAAGGTTCATTTTGCCCTCAGTGCCAGCTAATCCGGGCAGGACCCTCGAAGAGGAGACCGAGGGTCCCAGAGGACCAATGCTACAAGCCAGCAAATGCTGCCACATCTCTGCCTGATGGGGGGTGGGGGTGGGTGGGGGGATGGGACTGGGCCAAGGGATCTGGGTGGGCATTTTTAACTTTGGAGGCCATCCATCTGTTGGTAGGCCATCTGCATTTTCTTACTGTTGATGTTTCCTGCCCAAAGGACACATTTGGGCAGTGCCACCCACTCCTTGGACCCCTAGGATGACCCAGCTACCCCCATAACTTTCTGCTTCCCACAGGTTTTCAGCATTCTATCGTCCTGTTGTGCTCAGCCCCAACATCCCAGACCCGTTACCCGCTACCCTTCTTTCCCCCGGCTCATCATCAGTCGCTGTCTCTTTTCTGTGATTTCTGTAAAAGTTGCCATAAAACTTTGAAATTCTGCCTGAAAAACAGTCCCGTGGGAAGCTGGGATTCAGGAGGAGGGGGCTAATAACGTCTCTGACTGAGATTTGGGCAACTGCTAAACCAGGTAATCTGGGTTTTTGCGGCCCGCGGTCGTCTGCGGGACACACCCACATACAGCCGCAGCGCCTGGGTCCAGCCGCCAAGCTCTTCCACTAACCACGCCTCCATCATTAGCCTCGCTCCTCCACTAGCCACACCCCCATCCATCAGTCACGGGCTTCCACTAGCCACGCCCCTCCAGTATCCACGCCCCAATTCGTCAGTGTTGGGTTTCCCCTAGCCACGTCCCCATTAGTCAGCCAAGCTCTTCCACTTGCTACGCCCTCATCCGTCAATTACGGGTTTCCACTAGCCACGCCCCCATCCATCAGCCTAGCTCTTCCACAAGTCACACCCCCACTCATCAGTCGTGCTTCAGCCACGCCTTCCTGCTTCAATCAGGGGTTTCCACTAGCCAGCCACGCCCCCATGCATGAGTAACAAACTGTTCCTCTTTTCGGGCATCCTGGTAACACAGAGAGACGTTCATTTGCCTGAGCCAAAGAGCTGGGGTTAATGGGGTTTCCTAAATAAAGTAAGTAATTTTCTCAGATCCTACAGGAGGAGGGGTGTGTGTGTGTGTGTGTGTGTGTGTGTGTGGTGCCAAAGGACACAGCCTGTGTAAAGGTGTGGAATTGTGAGATAAGGCTTTTTCAGAGCCCTGGAAATGGTTATCATGAACGAGGTACGGGGTGCGTGGGGAGTGAACTTGAGGACAAATCGTAAGAGACTTTATCAGCCACTCTAGGGAGCTTCGAATTTATCCTAAGAGTAAAGGGGAGCTTTGGAAGGGATTTAAGTGGGGGAAGGAGGCAGGTGGTTGATATCACCTGATTTATCAGACGTTCCTCCTGGCTACTGGGGGCTGGGAGGCCAGGGACAACGCTGGAGCAGGGACAGGGGCAGCAGAGGAGGGAAGAGGGGAGTAGGGGGGTGGGAGGGCAATGGTGAGAAGGGAGTGGTTGAGAGAGAGAATGGATGGGGCTGGGTGAGGGAGTTCAGGGACAGCATCTGGGCAGGAGAGAGGTGGTGTGTTCATTCAAACGGAGTAGCCAGGGAGAGTTGGGTGAAAGGGCTACTAAGGAGTAGGCAGGGTTGGGGAAAACGAGAGAAGGTGCAGTACCCCAGGGCTAGCAGCAGAGGGAGCAGTTGCCATACCTGAGCTAAAAGGGGTGAGCAGAGGCACCCGAGGCTGCAGAGACCCGGGTACCTGGGTCTGTAGAGTAGAAGAGTAAAGGCATCGCCAACCTGCGCTGGGGGTGGTGGGCGCCGGTAGAGTAAGCGCCTCAACCTCATTCTGCTCCCACCTGCTAGTCTCCTGCCACTTCCTCCCACTGGCCATACCCAACCTGAAGTCCCAGGTCAAGACAATAGGCCCGCGGCATGGTGACTCACGCCTGTAATCCCAGCACCTTGGGAAGCCAAAGCAGGAGGGTCGATTAAGCCTAGGAGTTCAAGACCAGCCTGGGCAACATAGCGAGTCCCCGTGTCTACAGAAACTTTAAAAGTTAGCCAAGTGTGGTGGCATGTGTCTGTAGTCCCAGATACTCGGGAGGCTGAGGTGGGAGGATTGCTTGAGTCCAGGAGGTCAAGGCTGCCGTGCACTATGACTGCACCACTGCACTCCAGCCTGAGTGACAGAGCAAGACCCTATCTCAAAAAAGATAAAAATAAAAAATCAACCTTTGGCTTTAGGCCTTGATGAGAACAGGTTTGTGGAAGGTGTAGGGGCAGAAGGTGCGCTGATCTGCAGTGGGAGGTGGGGAAACTGAGTCAGGGCATGTAGCTCACTGTTTGGAGAGCCCTGATATGAGGAGGGGAGGTTGCTAGAGGAGCAGTAGGGCATTGACTACAGGGGCACAGGAGAGCAAGTGAGGCCTGTGCTAACAGCAGCTGGCAGTGATGGGGACCCCCCAAGCATGATCTCCTTAAACCCATTGCCAATTCCATACATCACCCCATTCCACGGAAGAGGAAACTGAGGCTCAGAGAGGTGAAGCAACACGCCTAAAGTTTCACAGGTAGAAGGGCAAGGATGGGACAGGATGAGGTCCAGGGTACAGAATGGGACAAGGGACACCATCTTTTTTTTTTTTAGACGGAGTTTCACTCCTTTTGCCTAGGCTGGAGTGCAATGGCGCGATCTCGGCTCACTGCAACCTCCGCCTCCCGAGTTCAAGTGATTCTCCTGCCTCAGCCTCCCAGTAGCTGGGACTACAGGCGCCCACCACCACACCCGGCCAATTTTTGTATTTTTAGTAGAGACAGGTTTTACCACATTGCCCGGACTGTTCTTGAACTCCTGACCTCAGGTGATCCACCCACCTCAGCCTCCCAAAGTGCTGGGATTACAGGCGTGAACCATCGTGCACAGGCTGGTTTATTAACACCATCGTGCACAGGTGTTTATTAAGACACCTTCATCTTAATAAACGCAGACAGAGGGGGTGTAGAGTAAGGTCTCAGCTTCAAAGGGGGACACATTGAGAGCTTGGGGCTTGGAAAACATGAGGGCTTTCACACCTGTCCCGTCACCTCACCCCAAAGGTCATGATTCTCACCTGGATGCAAAGAGCTCCATGGGGTCAGCTTGGGAGTGACTGGCATTGTCCTTGGAGGCAGCATAGCATAGTGGCTGACCTTCTCTGTGCCTCAGTTCCCTCATCTGGAAAATGGGCGATAATGATGCTCACAGTACCTATGTCACAGGGTTGTCGTGAGGATTAAATGAATATACATTAGCCTCACAGGCCGGGTATGGTGGCTCATGCCTGTTATCCCAGGTACTTTGGGAGGCCAAGGTGGGAGGTTTGAGTCTAGAAGTTTGAGACCAGTCTGGGCAACACAGTGAGACCCCATCTCTACTAAAAATAAAAATTATCCAGGCAACGTGGTGCACACCTGTAGTCCTAGCTGCTCCAGAGGCTGGGGTGGGAGGATCACCTGAGCCCAGAAGGTTGAGGCTGCAGTGACTCACGATCATGCCACTGCACTGCAGCATGGGTGACAGAGTGAGACCCTGTCTCAAAAAGTAAACAAATGAACAAAACCCAAGCGAAACCCAAAGTCATCTGCCTGGAGGGACCTCAGTCTTTCTTAAGGCCTTCAACTGACTGGATAAGGCTCACCCATACAATCTACTTCACTCAAAGCCAACCGATATTAAATGTTAATCTCATTTTTAAAATACCTTTACAATGGCTGGGTGTGGTGGCTCACACCTATAGTCCTAGCTACTCAGGAGGCTGAAGTGGGAAAATCACTTGAACCCGGGAGGCAGAGGTTGCAGTGAGCCAAGACTGCACCACTGCACTCCAGCCTGGGCAACGGAGCAAGATCCTGTCTCAAACACACACACAGACACACACACACACACACCACTTCACATCAGGGCAGCACAGCTTAACCGCGTGGACACATATGATTCACCACCACGAGAGGTACTTCTTTTCCCTTTGCTTCCTCTCTGCCCATCCATCATGTCCCTATTGGCCACTGCCTTAGACTGAGCACCAACAGAAGCCAGCCCACAGCAAGGATGGGAGGGAAATAGTTTATTTGGGAGGTGATCCCAGGAGGCACTGGAGGGAGATGGGAAAGAAAACGATTAAAGGTGGTGTTGAGGGCTGGGCACGGTGGCTCACACCTGTAATCTCCGCACTTTGGGAGGCCAAGGTGGGCTGATCACCTGCGGTCAGGAGTTCAAGACCAGACTGGCCAACATGGTGAAACCCCGTCTCTACTAAAAATACAAGAATAAGCCGGGCACAGTGGCAGGCGTCTATAATTCCAGTTACTTGGGAGGCTGAAGTAGGAGGATCACTTGAACCCGGGAGGCAGAGTCTGCAGCGAGCCGAGATCGTACCGTCAGCCTGGGTGACACAGTGAGACTCCATCTCAAATAAATAAATAATAAAGGTGGTGTTGAATGAGCAGGTCACCCTGTGGACAACGAGGTCTCAATCCTGCTGGGGACCTCTCAGGGAACTCTGGAGTTGCCCCACCTGAAGACTTTGGGTTATGTATCCACTAACTCCTGTCTGATGGTGGCCCAGGACTCCTTTAGGGGTGCTGACGTACTGCTTCCCACCCTGGTCTGGAATGCATTCAGGGAAGGGTCGCAGGTGCCAGCGTGAGAGATGCTGTTGGGTCCTGGGTGGTATGAGTGGGTCAGAGACAGCCTCTGCTATGATTACCTCCCAGAACGGGGGTCTCACTACCTCCCTCTTCCAGTAAGGCAATGCGTGGGCACCAGCACAGCACTGACTGTGCTCAGGTTGCCCTCTCTCCTGGCTTGATGCCCCCCAGCTCCCTCCTCGGCCTCTCCCAGGGAATCGGGAAGGGCTGGTACTGGCACCTCCTCCACGTTCTGCCATCCCCCTGAGGATTGAAATCAGACACTAGGGAGGACTTCCAGGCACACATGGCCAAGGGAGAGAGGGATGGGGCTCCAGGCTTTGGTACCTCCCAAGGTACCTCCTCACTCTCTCCTCGCCACGTTTGCCTCCCGTTGGTTCCCTCCCTGCAATTCTCTCCCTGGGAAGTGCGGGGAAGGGAATGCCATGGGTGGTGGATTGAAAGGGGTGGGTGGAGTCAGTACAGGGGGAACACGATGGTGGAGGGGGTGGAGAAAGGGCACAAAAAGAGGAGGGGAAGTTGGAAAGGGGGCAGAGAGCCAAGCACAAAACACAGGGGCCGGAGCGGCAGCAGAGACAGAGATACACACAGGATGCAGACGGAGGAAGCCCGGAGACTCAGAACACAGCGCAGGGAGCAGGGCGGGGCGGGGGTCGCAGGGCGCCAGGGCAAGGCCCTCACCCCATTCCCAGCACACAAAGCCAGTGAGGCCAACGCTGAGGGTGCGCTCAGAGACCAGAGATTAAAAAGGCACAGCTGGGCCGACAGAGCCCACGGCAGACAGAGGGACACGGACAGACAGGGAGAGAGAGACACGGATAGAGAGGGAGAGACCGAGAAGGATGGAGAGACAGAGAGAGATGGAGAGACAGACAGACAGGGAGAGACGGAGAGAGAAACGGAGAGGCAGAGAGATGGAGAGACAAAGAGGGAGAGACAGAGAGATGGAGAGACAAAGAGGGAGAGACAGAGAGGGAGAGACAGAGAGATGGAGAGACAGAGAGATGGAGAGACAGATGGAGAGACAGAGAGATGGAGAGACAGAGATGGAGAGACAGATGGAGAGACAGAGAGAGATGGAGAGACAGAGATGAGAGAGATGGTGGTTTGGATGGATGGGAGGACTGCAGAACTAGAGGCGAGAGATGGAGACAAAGAGGGTAGACGGGCAGTTATAACGTATGGTGGACGAGAGGAACGAGAGATGAGTAATGTGAGATTGGTATCGATGATGGACGAGATGGAGGGACGTGGATGGAAAGATCGATGAGACGAGAGAGCTAGACGACAGACGAAGAGATGGTGACGATTATAGATCAAGAGAGAGGATTGACAGGATTAAATAGGAGGATGGACAGGACGAGCAGACAGATGGAGAGACAGAGAGAGATGGAGAGACAGATGGAGAGACAAAGGGGGAG